CCCGTCGATATTCACACGTCCATTGGCTCTCAGTCAACGCACCATGCACATGCCGGAGGCGCCTGGCCTCTTGTCATTCCACGTAAAATTCTGCGGGACACTTCCATTTCCATTATTTCCGGATCTTCTAGAAAACCCCCAAAATTTCTGGGGAAATGGCGATCGGTTTTTGGCAAGAACGATGGCTGAAAAGAATGGAAACTCAGTTGTTCAGTGACCCTAGTAAAAAAGGGAACCCTTTTTGGGGAAAACAATTTTTAGTGGGGCCGCCACCAAGAAAAAAGGAAAAAGGGTGCCACTGAACAACTGAGGAAAAGGAATCAACCCCTAGACAAATACCACCGGCGTGAGGCAGCTCAACCGCGCGTTTTTCTGGAAGTTCCATCCGTTGTTTTTTTGGGTTGAACGCCCTCTGCCTCCATCTGCGAAGATTCGTCCCCTGAAACAAATGACTATATTTCCAGCAGTGCTAGTTTCCCTTTAAATTCAACTGGGAGAGAATCACAAAAACAACATCTTGTTTTCAGCAAATGGAAGCGTTGTGTCATGGTAGGAGCATGATGTTCATGAAAATCACCCAAATTGTTTTTCAGCAAATGTGTGTGTGTGTGTGTGCGGTTTGAGGGTACCCTTTTCAGACGAAAATACCACATGTTCATTTCAAGCTGGTACACCCAACAAGGGAAAACAAACTCATGTCCAAGCGAAATTGAACTCATTAAAAGCAACGCATCATAAACAAAAAGAAGAAAAGAAAAAACCAAAAACCAAGGGAAGCTCAGCCACTGGAAGTCCAAGGTTCTCCGCAAATCAACGGACTCATCCGGAGACTCACTCACCGCGGCCGGATGGGCAGAGGCTCGCATCATGCATCGGGAAATCAGCCTACGGCGCCCCGCCCTGAGGGATTTTGTTTACCTTCGCCATGGGTTCGGGGCTGGCAAGAAGGAGAAGTGCTATATTTCTTTAAGTAACTAAGTTGGATTTTTTTTTGCGGGTGCCGGAACAGCATTCATCTATCCTAAGCATCGTTCGAACTGTCATGAGCTTTGGGTCTGGGTCTCCAGGCTGGGGGGTATGGTCATGTAGTGTCCGCAAGGCAGATGATCTCAGATGACACAGAAAAAGGTCTTTGGCATTCGACATGTCCAAGCCATGTTGTGGGTCTTGCTTTCCAGCGACTGTGGTTTTGCCTATGGGCCCATAGGGGCCCTACCCCCCATGTCTCCGGCTTCGGTGAAGGGCCCTAAAGCTCTCAGCTCGACGTTGCTGGATTGAAACTCCAGCCTCAGCGTGGCGAGTCAGCAACCCCCTGCAAATAATTGCATTGACTTTTCCGTTTTTCTTTCTTGGGGGGGGTGTGGTTTGGAAACCCCCATTTTGTGTGTTTTATTTTGTTTGCTTGGACAATTACCCTCGTTTTTGAAAGTCAGGGTCGACATCGCCTAACGAAGCTCGGCTTGCGGGGAATCCGAGCTGCGAGATGACTCGGACGCCTTGGGCCTTCCAATTCAAGTGAGAACCTGGGTTGATGGGTGTCGGTCTTTGCTCGGGGGTTCCGATCATTCCCCCACATACCCTCACCTCAGGCAAGGACAAAGGAGGGAGAAAAACCGGGGACGGCGTTTCGGTCGAGTGGGACCCCTGAGAACATCCAGACAAACGCAGGATTGTCCAGAGCTGTCCAGTGTGGTTCCAAGCATGTCCTGCAAACTCACCTTTCTCCCGCGCTTGAGGCATGTGCTTGCTTCTCAAGAGTATCCTGTACTTCCCTTGGTGCCTTTACAGCTGGGCCATGAAGTGTATGAGTGAGACTTCCAGGAAAAATATTTGGTCTTCCCAAAGCTCGTTGCCAGGGCTCCCAAGAGATTTCAGGCCTTTGGAAGACAACCCTTTGAAACAGAGGCACAGCCCTGACAGAATAAAAATGACAATCAGGTATGGTCAAGTTAAAACTAGTCCCTACTCCAAATACCCGGCCTTCTTTCAGGGTATCATGTTGACCCTCTACTAAACAAGGAGGTATTTACCATGGGAAACCAGTATGGTCAACACTAAATAAAGGCAATCAGGTATGGGACGATCACAATGCTATGAAGCGATCGTATGGGATGCCTTTAGAATGGAAAAATCACCATATGGGTATTGCTCTGCTCAGGGTACCCTTTTCACCATGACTCAAAAGGGAAGCCAAAAGGGCCACAATCCTTTCTAAATGTGGGTCCCATTCAGAAACAAATGCTCATTATGTGTGATGGTCAAACTTCAGACCTCTCCATTGGTCCAAACAACCCGAGGTTGATGACCATCCCTAGCGCATGACCATCACTGCAAGATCCCAAGTAGAGGAAGGTCTTGCCCATGGCACACAAGGGAAACCAACAGTCTAGGGGTGGATTCTTTTCAACCATCGTCCTTTTCAAAAACCGGGATTCTGGAGGTCTTCTAGAAAGAAGGATCTCTGGAAAGAATGGAAATGGAAGGTACCCCTGGAAAAAGGGGTTGTCCTGCCGGTGTCCCTCAAAACAAGCAAGCAAACAAAAGCAGGTAGCCTCCACAAGTATTAAAACAGGGTGGACCCCGAAGCAATACGGGGAAGGTAGCCCTAAAAGTTTTAAAAGGGACACCCTTTTCGGGTCCCTTTGGGGCCACTTTTCGCTGAAGGCGCCAGTGCTGGGCATGGCAGCGTAGAGCTCCTGCAGACCGGCTTGGGTGATTTTGGTGCTGGCGTTGTCGATGAAGTGCAGCCTCAAGACATCCGGTGGGGTTGGGGTTGGGGGTGGGGGTGGAGGGGGGTGGGGGGTCCCCAATTTTACTTTTCTAGTCTTCCCAAAAATGAAAAAAATGGAACCATACATGGAGATCTCCAGGGGTCACCCCCCTCTCCCAATTCCATATTTAAGGGCTGCGGATTTCAAGACGCAGCGCGGCCAATTCCGCCTGGGAAGCAAACTCTCGGAGGCCGCTAGGGCCTCCAGATTTGAATAAGTTGGTACCCGATTTTCTTCTGTGGTCTATTTGGGATTCCTCACTAGGTCCTCCAGTAGTTGAAGAGGTTAGAATAAGTTGGTACCGTTTTTTTTTTTTTTTCTGGACGTCTATTTCAGTAGGGGAACTCTCCCAACCACAAAAGGGGTTAAAAGGGGCGGACCTAGCTCAGCCAGGGAAGACATTTCTCAGAAGGATTCCTCAGCCTCCCCTGTGGGTTGGTTTTGGCTTTAGGAGCTTCCAAATTTGGGCGACTCTATCTCCCATGAATCCCTATGTCGTATCGAGTTGTGACACAACTCTTGCTTGGGATGTAACGGGGGGTTTTTAGAGCTTCCCACTCTACAAGAACCAAGGGTTCAGAAATCCCCAAACCAGGGCGACCTGGAATGGCGATTCTTCTTGACCGGTTCCCTGGGCATTGCCAAAAGGTCAGACTGCTTCTCCTTGAGACGCGTGCGCCCAGCGGCAGGTTGCTTTGCCTTCCATGCGCGAATACGTCCCTTGGGAAAAAATGAGAACATATATCCAGCAGTGATAGATTCCCTTTGACTCAGTTGTTCAGTGACCCCAGAAAAAAAAGGGAACCCTTTTTTTGGACGACTATTTTTGTGGGGCAGCCACCAAAAAAAGGGAAACGGGGTGCCACTGAACAACTGAGTTAAACCCAGCAAGGGAAATGAAAAGAATGTTCACAAACCAAATAATTCATCCGGATGGGGTCCTTTAACGCTAGCAAAGGCACGGACTCGAAAAATATGGAGACCTCGTCTGAAAATCTGAGGCTTCGGCTTCTGGAGAGAGGTGCCCTTGCGCATCCATGCGGCAAACCTCGGATCGCGTGCGCTACCCTACTACGGTGAGGGGGGGGGGGTCCGGGACCCAAATCCATTGATATATCTCGTCCTCCTGGAGGAAAACGGATCCGTCAAGGGAACTCCATCACCGTCCCCCAACTCTGGTGGTTTTTCCGAGCAGCGCTCGACTCGGACTGCTCAAGCCGCTGTGGAGACTAGCAAGTGCGGATGGCGCTTGGTTTGTGCGGTTTTGCCGAGTAATCCAAGGGCAACCCGCCAAGCGCCCAGTCGAATTTGAAGTACGCAACGTGATTCTGTAGGGCGGTAGAAAAGTGTCAGAAAAGCAAAGCTCGGGGGGGGGGGGAGCCTGAAGTTGAGAAAAAGGCTCAGAGCTGCGAATCCAAGTCTGAAGCCTCGTGGAGTGCAAGCGGGTCGAAAGATGGCCCCCGATGAGGGCGGGAGTTTGTCCTCCTTCATATCCAGCTGCCCCTTGGTTTGGGTTGGTCCGATGGAAACCCCGCTTGTTCAAGACCAACCCAGGTCCAACCCATCTACCAGATGAACCACTAGATGACGTACCAGTAGGTATACGTGACCCAAACTTGCTGTGAAACACATCTGGCAAATATTTGCTGCTCAGCTCCAATGCAACCTGAGGCCATCATCTTCCCTTGGAAGGAAAGGGGTAAGTTATGGGGAGGATGCGACCGTGTATACAAATATATATATATATATATGTATATATATATATATATATCTGTGTCCCCAAGCTGGGAAGTTCAATAGTCAACAAAACAGCTGCTTCCTTTGCCCCAACAAGGGCCAAAGCCACTCCACCTCATTCAGAAACCAAAATTGTCTCTCCTTTTCGCCGCCTTTTCGCCGGAAGTCAAGGGACGCCTGCAGACTGAGATCCGAGAGGTGCGAGTTGGCCTCGAAGTTCAAGACCAGCTCCGTGAGGCTGCTGGGCAGACCTCGACGAGTCGGTCTAGGTCCTCCAGTAGAGAGGTTAGCATAAGTTGGTCTCCGATTCTTTTTCTTCTGTAGTCTATTTTAGTGGAACCCTCCCAACCCAACAAGGGGAGAGAAGGGCACTGGGGCACCTAGATTCGGAAGGGTTGGGGGAGGGAGTCCCAGGATCCGGAGGGGGGGGGTAGCACTGAGATTTGCCAGTTTGTGGAAGATCGCCAGTGATTTCTTTCAAAGGTGGACGCCATTCCTTGGTTGACGTTGGAAGGGGAGCAACAATTTGAATTTTATCAGTTAAGTGGGGATCTCCCACTAAGCCACACTAAGCAAAAATGTAACATATTTCCCAACAACAACCATGATTCCAGTTGCAAATCAAACATCAGAAAGCTCTTGGCGAGCCGGGACTGATCCGCCACAACTTCTGGCCGCTGCAAAGCGACTTCCAAAAACTCTGTAGGTCCACGACTTGCTGTTGAATATGTTCCTGACTTATAACAGGGAGCCTGACTGTGGGGTCTTCGGAAACCATTATTTTCCAAAAGAGACACACTGGCTTCACGGCTTTAGTGACCGGGAGGGCAACTGGAAATCAGCCTACCCCTAAGGAAGCTTCATGGCTCGTTTATTTTGAGAACAGCATATCCCGAGGAATCCCAGAAGATCAAAAGCAAAGTTTTTTGGATGATATTACCCAGCACTACGCGCAGGTGCACAGACAAAGTGCCTAAGATGTACCATGATGCTTGTTTCCCGCCCCCCCCCCCCCCCAATTGCCATTGAAGTTTCATTTGAACGAATTCGGAATCCCAACAGCTCAACCCCCTGGGCCACTCCAGGTGTTGGCAGAGTGAGCACCCCCAATTGCCTCGACTTGGGCAATGCTGTATGGTGGCCTGTAGCCATGGCTCTGGCGGATGAACAATCCCCTCGCTTCCCTTGAAGACACCAAGTCTTTGGCACCTTGATCACGCAACACATGCTGCAAACGGAGTACCTGGGAGTGCCTGCCCCGAATTGCTCGGATCTTGGATCCGCGGAACGTCGGTAGGTGGTTCGGGACACCCACGGAATCCACGTCTTTCTCCCCGTTTTTGGTCGATGCCGGGGTGCTTGCGATAAGAGCGCCTCAGATGCGAAAGCTACCCCTGAGGAATCAAAGGACAAACCGGGCTGAATATGAGCCAGAAAAACAATACGAAACTACATCTATATGAACATCTATATAAACATATATACATATATATATATATAGAAAGGCAAACATCGCGACCAAATGAGTGTACCAATATCTAGGTCCTCCAAGTAGAGAGGATAGAATAAGGGTACCAACTTTTTTCAGTAGTCTATTTTAGTAGGGGAACCCTCCCCCAAAAAAGGGTAAAAAGGGCACTACTGGGGGTGTTAGCATTTACAAAAAGGTGGTGCAGGATTTCGTTGCACATCCAACATCAACGGACCCTTCAACTTCTGTCAACAGGCCAGCACGGACAAGTTGTTTTTTTCAATCATAGCGACAGCGCTGCTATTTGTTCTGGTCATCTGCAGTACAAAAGCTCCAAAACCCTCTCTTTTTTCCCCTTTGAAACCTAAGCCGAGGTGTAGAAATGAGTGCTTGTTACTCCCATTTGTTGCAGATGCAGTGTACGTGAATTCCCGGCAGATCACCAAAGACGCAGCAGAGCGACAAAGTTGCAGCGTGTCGCGGGGAAGGGAAAAAGCGAGCCAGGCACGAGCGATCCCTGGCGTGAAAGGAAAGCTTTCATCTGGATCCGGGAGTGTCTGTTGGAATCGCCCCCAAAATCGATTTTGCTTTTGTCCGCGTGTCTTTGGTTTTGGAATGGAGGTCGGTTTCCATCCCTGTTAACCCACAACAAACAAGTACACATTGCATGCAACCAACATGGGTGTGTGCTTTTTGGGGCACCCCCAAAATGCTGATTCTTCCTTTAAACGCCACCAGAATCCCAAAACAGGGGGCACCAACTCCACAAATTGACACACGAAAAGAACTCTCCAAGTTGTCTCCGGAGCCTTTGAGTTCCAGCGCCAGGATACATTTTTACGATGCCGCTTGAGTGGACTGGAAAACAAAAGTCCAAGCCCAAGAGTCCGAAACCCAAGTGAAAGGGTTTTTGAGTCGAGAGGTTATTTAGAAGGGGACCCCTCCCGCGGAAAAAGGGTAAAAGGGCACTCAGAGACCTGGTGAAAGTGACCAAGAACTCAAGAACTCGACCGGAAGTGAATCGTCAGTTGCACTCCTAGCAACAAGGTTGAAACGAAGCACATGCAACATACATTTTCGGCTGCTCAAATTTGGGCGAGTTGGGGACCATAGGGCTTTGTTGGGCCTTCCTTTGAAACCACCATGTTTTTCCAGAAACCATGATTTTCCATTGAAACCACCATAGGATTTCTTGGGCATTCCTTTGAAACCACCGTGTTTTTCCTTCCAAAACCAATAATTTTGAGCCCTACAGCCCATGGCATTCTTTTTCCTCAGCGGCTCTGGACTTAAAAGTCTGCTTCGCGTGGCCTGGTGCCAACGTTCTGGGTGAATTATAATATTTCACCAGCTTGAAATAAGGTGGTTTGGGGGCTATGCATAAACCACCATTCGTACGGTTTGATCAACCCCCAGTAGTTCTATCAACTCCGTGTTCCCAGTGTCCAATGCCAGCTCCAGCGGTGTGAGCCCGGTTTCGTTGACCTTGTCTCGGTAGGCCCGGGCTTCAAGCAGCAAGCGAGCCACTTCTAGGTGGCCTTCCATGGCTGCGAAATGCAAGGGAGTCCAACCATGAGCGTCCGGGTTTGCATCTGCCCGAGCAAGCAGCAAGCCAACCTCAGTTCAGTGACCCTGGGAAAAAGGGAACCCTTTTTGGGGCCTAGACCATTTTTAGTGGGGCAGCCAACAACAAAAAGGGGAAACATAATTGGTGCCACTGAACAACTGAGCAACCACTTCTGCATAACCTTCCAGAGCTGCAAAATGCAATGGCGTGGCACCATCAGAACTCCTCGCGTCTGGCTTGGCTCCTGCCTCCAGCAACAAACTCGCAATCCGCACATTTTGCGTCATATGCAAAGGGCTCCTGCCGCTGTCATCGGTTGCGTTTGGATTCGCAGGCTGACAAAGAAGCTTTTCAACTTTGTCTGCATCGCTGCTTTGGCATGCAGTGAACAGCTCCTTGTCCTCGACGAAGTTCAAGATGACAAGCTGCATTTTCTGAGGACTCAAGAAAACATCGTCATTCTGCATCTCGCTACCGTCTTCCAAAATCAACTTTTGTCGGAATCTGGTATACCCAATCTGAGCTGACAGGCGTTGCTTCAGCTCCTTTGCAGATTTGTTCCAGAACTCAACGGCATCGAAGCTTGCGATGTCTTCACCGGACGCTGCCCAAGACACACGCAGCACCGGCTCGTACTCTGTCATGATCCATAAGCTTGAAAGCACTGGAAATTGCCGCGGATGGGAAGACACAACTTGCTTTGTGCACTACGCAAGGCACAAGGTTGCCAGGCAAAAGTGTGCACGCATCATTTTGATGAATAGTGGACGGCAGATGTTGATGGACCATCTTGAGTAGTACAACCTTCCAAAACAAGGCAAGACGATTACGCACATGTCTCGTATCTCTTCCTCGCAAACAAAAATAACAATGTTCCATTCAACTTCGGAGGACAGTTCATTGGGAGAAACTACGATTGTGAAATTGTGTGAGCTAAACGCACTAAACAATACGAAACACACATCCCCACAACTTTCTCTGGAAGGCACATGGGTAGCACTGTCATGATTTCCTCCACCACCCCAAGAGGGCTCGGAAGTTGCAGCCAAAAGGTGCAGTCCAAAAGGTGCAAGGTGGAGTGTGGGGTGTACCAAGCTCTGACCCAAGTTGCACGTGAAGGAATTCGACTCCAGACCCCAGACTGCTCTAATGGCTGGCGAAAGCCTTCCTTGCTCATCTGCATCGTGTTATGCATTTGAGCAAAACCTCCATTTGCTAAGTCCCCTGAAAACAAGAACATATTTCCAGTACAGTGATAGATTCCCTTTAAAACCAACAGGGGAGAACAATCACATATTCATTTCAGCAAATGGAAGAAAAGGTTCAGAGAAGTCCAGCTTCGCTGTTGGGGCAGCCGCAGTGGTCACAGGCCGATCTGGCGTTAGGAACACTTCTCAGATGCCCACTGGCCATGGGAAAAAACGGGCACCCTGTTTTTGTTGGTTGAGTTTAAAGGGGAACCCTTACCCCAAAAAAGGAAAAAAGGGCACCACTGGGCAACAAAGACTTCAATGATCCATTTTCCTGAAGTTTCCTTCTCTGCCATGCGCATGATGACTTGATGGCGCTGCAGCCTGTGAAGCCACTTGATCCGGGTTTCACTCCAAACGGGGTTTCCTCCACAACGTCTCTTGGATGGACACATTCCTGCACCACAACTGGCCATGAAAAAATCAGTCGCAAGGAAAGCCTGACAGAAAAAGCAACCTATACCCCAATCATCATGCCAGAAATTGCTGCGCGGGCGCCTCGACTTGAAATTTGCTTGGGAATGGCCCAGAAAGAGCCCCGACCTCCAAAACACCCGGCGCGCGGTCAGCTTGACTTAACATGCGTTGGGGTTCCTTTGGTTTCCCTCAGGCCACCCCAAAGGCTGGCTTGAGTCCAGGCGCTCATGCCTTTGTCGGTGAAGGAATCATTGTCCTTGAAACTGATCGCTGCCTGCAAGACTTGGAGGTGATGGCGAAACGATGTGACGGAGGGACAATCCGAACCGGGCACAAAAGTGGTCAACATATAAATAAATAAATCAATATATATATATATATATTTCTTTATTTATTTATACATATGTGTGTGGATCTGGGCCTCTCCGTTCCCCTTTCCCTTCCCGGTTTTGTTTTGGCGGCTCAGGGGAGATACGTTTGGCCCCAAAAGGACGCCTTTGGACCCAACGGCGGCTTCCTTGAGGCTCACCTTCGCTTCCGCCAGGTCCTTCGGTATGTGGCGGTGGGATTCCAACATGGGCTGCCCGATCGGGAAGTGGAATGGTTACCAAATCCCTGGCGGTTTTTGCCCCTCCTGATTTTTTTTTGTGGAAACATGGTGGCCAAGACCTGGCGGCTTGCTTGCCCCTCCTGACTAATTTTTTTTGAGCACCCATGTGGAGGGGGTCCTTGTTCATCGATGTGACGGGACTCTTTTTGCCTGACACTTTCGCAGCTCGAAAGCAACAACTGCGTCGTACCTTCAGCGCACGCCAGAGGGCAAAAAAGGGTCGCCGGCCGGGGCTTGGCCGTGTGACGAGGTAACGACTCGGCAACGATGTAACGAAGCATAGCACAGAAAAGCGGCCTCGGCCGGCCCCCCCCCCCGCTACCTGTTTCAACTTCTTTTCAGGGCAAGCTCTCTGCAAGTTGCATCTGCAAAGGTATGTCCAACAAAAGCATGCTCTGCAAACGTCTACTCGGGCCTTGTGGAACTCATGCAGAGTCTCTGCAGGCATGCTTGCATTCCCCAATAGCCACGCTGTCCACTGGTAGCCAGCGGAAAATATGCAAGCACTCGTTGCATCCTTCGCCCTTTTGCTTGCCGGACATTTTAGGGCGCGCGGCGCACCTTGCAACAAGCTCTGAAAGCTTTCACCGGTTCGCGGATCATTCGCCAATGTCTTGGCTTGTGTCAAGGGAGTTTGGAGGGGTCTTCTTTTGAGGTTACCTAAAAAAATAATCGCTTTAAAATGAAGCCAAATGGTTCCCAATCATTTGCTGGGGACCCCTTATGTAAGCGTACAAGCATGTCTCCAAGCCTTAGCCAAATCTTCGAACAAACCATCTCTTTCACCTTCTTCAGGGATCTTTCAAGGCTATAGAGAGGCTAGAATAAAGGTACCATTTTTCTGTAGTCTATTTTAGTAGGGGAACGCAAAAGGGCACTGGCGAACCTAGGGAAACACCTGCAAAGTCCACTTTTTGATCAACTCCGCTTTCTTCCTGTCGGCACAAAAAGTGGGTAAACCACGCAACCAGCTTGGCGAGTCAGGAAGAAATCCGCCCGCTCGACCATGCCAAGTGCAGCAAGTGTTCCGCCCAAGCATCTGGAGGGATCACACCCGTGGCAGATTTGGGAACAATCGTTTGATGACAACAAATGAATTGTGCTTCTGCGGGTGGTTGCGGGTTTTGATGGTGAAATGTTTGCAATGTAACGCGAGCTACTTGGATTAACAGGCACAATGTCAAGCATCATGCGCCGTGCAAAATGACCAGGCAAGCGAGAAAGCATGCCGCCAGGATGGATCAGTGAGCGTACTAGAACAACGTTGACACCGCTTTTGCACGGGTTGTGGAAGTGTTCTTGCCGCAAAGTAGCAGCAACAACCTCAGCAACAGCAGTTCTGCAGCACATGGCGCGGTAGTGCAAGCGCGGCATAGAATCCGAGGGAAGATTCGTATGAGCAGCTGCATCTTCGAGCACGACACTCAGCGCTTTTAGGCAGGAAGCTTTGAAGATGGGCAGGGGCTTCACGCACCTCGACATGAGACGAGCTTTTTTTCTGGCAAGGGGCGGTGCGGCACTCCACGTACCCCGGCCAATACCACTTTTTCGGCTTCTCGTGTGGCTTTGAGCGACATATCGCGCCGTTGGTGTTTCTTTTCGGGCCCAATTCCGGGTAAGGCCGACTAGATTCCGAAAAGAAGGGGGGCTAGGGCGTGACTCGCCCATGCAAGTCTCCGTGCGTCTTGACACATGGGACCAGCAAGCCCGAGCTACAGAGAGATCCTCTCGAGGAGAGCAGTCGACAGCGCTGTGCAGCGCGGATTGCCGAGGTCAACAAAACTTCTGGCCCAAAGGACCTCGAGAGAAAGGCTGAAGAGTTGGATTTGGAGCGAGTCACAGTCCTATAATAACTTAAGTATTTGTCCCTAAACGAAACCAAGGAAAGGACGTACAAATGGTCACAAAGTGCTGCTTGAGCAGGCCAAACACGACATGCGTCTATACACAGCAATGAAATACATGTATATATATATATATACACATGTGTACACACCCACAACATAGCTATAATATGATACAACCGGACAAGTTATTACAACTCACCAACCTTTGAAATCATGAAATCGTCTTTTGGCCATCCCTCCCCCCCCCCCGAGCCAGAAAGGTGACGTCGCTTTTTCCAAGATACCGGGACCCTGATTGGTCCGAAGTGGTTTTACTTACATTTGCTTAAGCCCCCTAAAAAGTCGACATATACCCGTGATCCCCAGTGATAGATTCCCTTTCAAAGGGAAAATCAGAAAACGGTCTCTGACACGAAGTTCCTCGCTGAGCTCCAGAAGCTCAAGTTTCTTCCAAGTGGCACGCGTGAGGTTCCCAGGCATCGCGCGGCCCAGAGCTTCCAACGCCTATCGAAGGGCAAATGACGGGGAGCTCCCAATTCACGTGGAACCTCGGGGGGAAACCCCTGACTGGTTCTCCTTTTGGCTTTCCCGTAAATTGCCCGCAAAAAGGGGAACCTATGAATTTACCATGGAACCTGAGCCCCACCAACTCTTGGTTGACACTGGTTCTCCCGGGAACCTATCAATGTACCATGGAATCTGACCTTCGGGTGTCCCTGGTTGACGTTGGGCTTGGGGAGCTAAAATGTCGAAGCTTAGCAGAAAAGTGGATTTGGATTTCAACCACTAAACCACAAGAAGCAAAAATGTTTCCCAACAACAACCATGAATTAACGTGGAACCTGACAAAATGGTCCCTCTAAAAGGAAAATGGTCCCAACCAGGCCCCCGGGGCCGGAACTTCAGGTTGCATGTGAATTGGTGGGAGGGTATCTCTCCCTTCACTCTCTTCGGAACCCGCATCGACCAACTTTGCTTCTTTTTGCGGCCAGAATCTTCAATGAGCAGACCCAACAAAACGCGATGCAAAAAGAACTTGCCAAGAACCAAGCCCCTAGATTGGTGGTTTGGAGCCACCGCAAAAGAAAACAGAGGGGGAGAGAGAGAGAGAGAGAGAGAGAGAGAGAGAGTAGGTTTGAACCAGTTTTTCGGCCTTGCGTGTGAATAACACATTCCCTCCAAAGGAAAGGCTTCAACAAATGGTCACTCCTGCAGGGTTCCAGGATGTTGTTTGGCTTCCTGGCGAAAGCCGGCTCTTGCCACATCCCCAGTGTTGACACCCCAACTCGAAGAAACGAGGGATGTGGGGCAAACAAAACATTAACATGTCTTCCGAGTGACCAGGCTGTTTGTTGTGGCAAAACCCATTGCGACCAACGTGAACATGCCTTTCGCACTGCTTGCCAAAGTGCCATTAAAACAATGGTCGAGGTTGCTAGACTGTTTTTTGCCAAAAGACCGTTGTTTTTCACTGCTTGCGAAAGTGTGTCTGCTATGTCAGCAAATGTTCTCTTTGCCCCTATGCTTCATGTATTGCTTCGGGTTCGCAATCACTTTGGCTTGTTTTGCCGGTAACTGTGGTACGGTAACTGTGGTTGCCCCAACCGCGTATTTGTCATTCTTAGTGAGGAGGGGGGGTGTTTCCATGAGCGCAGCATGTGTTGTGTAGCTCTTTCGTTCACCTGGAAGGTCCAGGTGCTTCTACATGCCTCGAAGCCGGCAGAACCGAGTTCAGAGGCTTCCTTGCCTGACGTAGCCTCGTAGCGGCTATAAGAATGCGAGTTTCTGCAATCCAATGGGGATTGCCACACAACTGCAAAGATTTTGTTCGGGACGGGGAGTGAAGTATGCTTTCATAAGTTCATCAACCTGAGCTTCTAAATTCACCCCCCACCCTCTTTGCCCCTCGAAAGAAGCAAGCCCAAAAGATGCGGATGGGTTTTTTCGAGGCGGAGAAACTCATTCCCAGCGTTTTTAATTAGGAAATGGGGAGAAATCAAGAAAGCAACTCAGATGCTCTCAGATCCCCCGCTAAAAGCTTTTGACTTTTAGTGGGTTCAATGGAAACTGCCACCAACTAAAAGGCTAAGGAGATGGCTGGGAGCCACCAAGGCAACAGACGTGAGCCAACAAAGAAAGACACAAGCAATGATGTGCAAAAACACACAGGCAACACAAAGAACAGACGCGAATTACTCGGCAAAACCGGGTTAGCTCTTTTCCTTTGGCACGCCTCATCCGTCAGCTCGTCGTTGCGGAGGATAAGGTCGAGGGACAACAAGCCCTGGGCAAATGACTTGCTTTTCCCAGGAAGGAAAAATGTGAGAACCAAAAAATAATGAACACCTATGAAGGTACCATACTGAGGATAGACGAACATCCTGCATGGGAAACCATTGTGGGAATTTACAGGGCAACGTCCACAGTGGTCGACCCATATTTGCGGGTTGTGATTTAGAGCAGCAAGGGAATGCAATCAGCTCCCAAGCCAGAGCCTCCCGCTGAAAAGCCAGTCAAATCGAGCACTGGCCAGTCATGACCACGGACAAATAACGTGCAAAACTTCAGCTGTTCATGGAGGGTTGGTGAATCCTAATCCATGTCATTCTCTCTCGACTTGAATCTTAGGCACATGATGTTTGCCCAGTTTGGGGGAAGTTACTCTGCCTATCACACTATGTCGACACTCAATTTGCACGCGCAACACATGCAAAACAGAGAGCTTTCATGTCAAAACGAGCTTGTTTTCTTGACGATGGCAGTCTCCTTTCATGATTTCCACATGGGTAGAAACGGCAGGCATGTTTCAGGTCGTGAGCAATGATCATCCATTCTTTGACCCCCCTGTTTCTGTTTTGCTTAATCGCGCAGGTTTTTGACCATCCATTCTTTGACCACCATGCAACCAGCATTTGGAAAAATCATTGGTGCCACTGAACAACTGAGAGGACACCCCAATGGAAAACAAGAAACATCGGATGGTTTGTGGCTTGTCATGATTTTCAAGGTTGGGGGTAGTCAGAAAATAATTGGTGCCACTGAAGAACTGAGCTCTAGGTCCTTCAGAGTTTTGGGCGTCCAAGTTGCCTGGGGCAACTTGGCCACCAGCTTGCCGAAGCCCTCGTTGCTGATCTTGCACTCCGTCCACCTGAAATCCAAAATGTGGCCAGCGCCAGGGGCCCACAGATACAAACCTACCCAGAAGCATTGCTTCGTCAAGCATCTGTTTTTTTTTTTTTAATGGGTATTAGACACACACATACATACATACACATATACAAACTAGACGACGGGTGGCCCGGAAGCAAAGCAACACGTTAAATCAACTCTGACACCTCCCCCACCTCATGAGAAACAACGCGTACACACGTCAATGTCCCTGCTCAAGCCTAGCCTCTGCAAGTTCTGTTGAGCAAGCTTAGCATCATGCTTCGCAAAATATCGTGTCAGTTTCTGTTGCGCGCGATGTTGTGAGTTGATGCTGCGCGCGAAGCTGCGCGTGGTGCCGTGCATGATGCTGCGCATGATGTTGCAAATCATGATGCGCGTGACGTGACGCTGTGCGTGATGTTGCTCATGATGCTCTACAACACCTCTTGAAAACTCTTTGCGCCCGTTTCTTTTGTCAACCTCTCTTGTCCAAATCAGTGCGCAGTTTGGCTGCACAGGAAGGCTGGCTGTCTTAGCTACGACCGAAGTATACTTCGCAAGATACTCTTGCGTGCATAACTTAAGATTTTCAAGCTGGAGATGCGCAAGTGCAACTGGGTGTTTCTTTTGCGCTTTACAGTTGCAATTTGCGAGCTGGACAGGATGGGAGTGCGCTCTCCGAACATGACTTCTGCGCTTAAAAAGCTGTGCTTCTTGAGCTGGGGCTGCGAGAGCGCACTGCTTTCGTACTTAAAAGTTGCGATTCGTGAGCCCGAGCCATTGGAGCGCACTTTGCGTACTACTTTTGTACTGAAAAAAGTTACCATTGGCTATCCGGAGCTGCGTGAATGCTCTTCGCGTGCTGCTTGCGTCCTTGAGACTTGTGATTTTAGCCGGAGCTGCGGGAATGCGTTTCGCTCTCTACTTTTGTACTCAAAACTTGCCATAAAACAACTTGCGGATTTCGAGCCAAAGCTGCGGGAGTGCTCTTCGTGTACTTCTTTTGTATTTAGAAATTGCGATTTTGCGGCCGCAGCTCTGGGAATGGAATGCGGAGATGCGGGAGTGCGCTTTGGGTAGTACTTTTGCACGTAAAAATTGCGAATTTCGGTTGCGGGAGTGCGCTTCGCGTACTACTCTTGTACTTAGAAATTGTGATTTTGCAGTCTGAGTTCTGGGAATGCTCTTCGCGTACTACTGTTGCACTTTAAACTTGCAAGCTTTCAGCCGGAGCTGCGGAAATGTACTTCGCGCACTACTTTGCACTTAGAAGTTGCGAATTTGCGAGCCGGAGCTGCAAGTGCGCTTCGCGTACTTCTTTTGCACGTAGAAGGTGCGATTGTGCAGCGGGAGCTGCGGGTTCGTGTACTACTTCTGTACTCAAAAGTTTTGATTTTGCAGCCACAACTGCGGGAATGTTCTTCGCACACTACTTTTGTACACAAAAATGCTATTCGGGGAATGTGCTTCGCGCACTGTTGTACCAAACACTTACGATTTTCAATGCTGAGCTGCAATGCTCTTCGCGCGTTGCTTGTGTACTTGAAACTTGCGAGTTGAGCTGGAGCTGCGGGAACGCGCTTTGCGTGGCACTTTTCTAATCCAAGAGCTGCGGGAGCACAGCTTCCGTACTATACTTTGGTACTAGAGAACTTCTTAGAGAACTGTTATTCTTGAGCCGGAGCTGGCGCGGACCAGGGGGAATCGAACCCGCGACGGAGCAAACCACGAGACAACTTTCAAAGACCTTTCGCGAGCACTGAAAGCAAGAATATGCGCACGGCGCCACAGCGAGAGCGCTTTGACACGCACGATCTCCGCAGATGGCTCGCCGAGCTCAAGACAAATTCGCACGGAGCCACAGCGAGAGCGCTTTGACGCGCACGATCTCCGCAGAGGGTTCACCGCGCTCAAGACAAATTCGGACGGCGCCACACCGAGAGCGCTTCGACGCGCACGATCTCCGCAGACGGTTCGCCGCGCTCAAGACAAATTCGCACGGCGCCGCAGCGAGAGCGCTTCGACACGCACGATCTCCGCAGAGGGTTCGGGCCTACCGCCGCCAGAAAAAGAAGAAGAATTACGAGTCGAGAAGCGAAGGTACAAAGGAAAAGTTAGCTGTGTTTTTAGGATAGTGAAGTAACACCCGATAAGTTGCGCTTTTAGAATAATGAGATATCACCCGAAAAGTTGACACGAGAAGCTGGCTGGTGAAGTAACTATCCACAAGTTGGCATGAGAAGTTGGCAGGTGACATAACTCTCGAAAAGTTGGCAGGCGAAGTTGGCAGGCGAAGTTGGCAGGTGAAGTTGACATGAGAAGTTAGCAGGTGAAATAGCTCTCAAAAAGTGGGCATGAGATGTTGGCAGGTGCAGTAACCCTCGAAATGTTGGCATGATAAGTTGGCAGGTGAAGTAACCCTCGAAATGGCAGGTGAAGTTTGCAGCCGCCTTTAGAAGAAGAACCCTTCGCAATGCTTCCGGGGGGAAAAACAACAACATAGAAACAAGACCATGAGCAAGGCATGTATCAGAATCTGCCTGTTTCACCTTTTGAGCACCGGCCTGGTGTGTCATTTTTGTGTGGGTCCCTGAATGATCAGCTTGCGCTCTGGACGGCAACGATCCACGAGAAACAGGTGAAATTACTGGGTAGAACTGAAATCACAGGCGGATTCTTCAACACGCCCTGCTCATGGGTTTCAAAGGTGTACATATATGTCTAGATCCTCCAGTAGAGACGTTCAAATAAGGGTACCAACTTTTATCTGTGGTCCATTTATTGTACGCAGTCTGAGGTGATTGAAAGCTGTCGCTGCAAAACGGTGGCAACCAGCTTCTTTCCGGGAACTCACAGAAGCGCACCTCCCGGCACAGGCTGACAGGATACGGAATGTGGGACCTGCTTTGGATGCTTTCGATGTTGACCCCTGAAAATCAAAGCGGTTCTAACAGGGGATGATGTCACCCTGCAGTGGTCTGATTCCCACTAAAAGGGGGGGACCCCCCCAATCAAAATCAACCAGGGGTTGATTAATCCCGGGTCAACATTCCGCGACTGGCCCTTGGGGCCATGTTCGCGTCGAGACTCCGGGTGAACAAACCACCCCTGCACAACTTCGTGTCAAGACAAAGACCAACAGAGAATGGAATTTCTGCGGGAGGTCGCCTTCGTTTTTTGGTTGGGGGCGGAGCCTTGACAGGGCTCCCTATATTTCCCCTCCCCACCAAGGGACACTCACCTTTCATGGGCCAAAAAGGCGATGCTTAAAACCACCAAAAAGGAAAAAATAGGGACCCCTGCCCCCTCCCTTGGATTATCCCCGTTCTAGGGATTCCATAAACAGAACCAAGAGCACCTCCATGAGGTGGAAGTTCTTCTTTCCTTGACTAGGTCCTCCAGAGAGGTGAGAATAAGGGTACCCATTTTAGTAGGGGAACCCTCCCCCAAAAAAAGGGGTGAGAAAGGACACTGGGGGACCTAGTTGACTTTACAAGGGGAAACCTGCAACCAACAACGGCTTCAGAGGATACGTGGGTGTGAGCTTCAACATCTTTTCGGCAACCAATTCTGAAGGGCGCCATTTATAGCCAGATACATTGCAGGTTTTGTTTGATCCACCTGAACATCAACCCCCATGGTTTCTTTTTGGTCTGGAAAATGGAACCTCTCAAACTACCAGCCTGCTGGTGCGAGGGATGGGGCTGGAATGAGATCTGGAATGACCCTGTTTCAACCATGCTGGTTTGCTTTCAGGAGACCCGGGTTCATTCCCACATTCCGCACTCGCAGCAAGTGAGCCCCCTCCTTTAAAAAAGGGTCGAGATTTAATTTGGGAATTCCTCAACAAAAACCTAAAAACAACAAAAACAACCTAAAACAAATGGCCCTCCTTAAAAAAAAAAAAAAACAAGATGGCTACCCTTCCTCCAGCCAACATGGCACCTGTGAGGTACCTGGACGATTCATTTAGGGAGCGGGTCCCTGTCAGTTGCCATGCTGGAGGAAAGGTTCCGGGCAGCTCTGAGTCCGGGTCCTTCCAAGCAGCGAGGCCAAAGGACCAAATGAGTCGATCCCCAGAACCCAAGCCCAAAAGGCGACATTTTTTGACCCACCTCAGGAAGTGAAACCCGACTGAACATGAGCCACAATCAAAACTTGGTACAAGAAATAGTGAACGCAGAACCATGCTTCAAGAATTGAGAAGGCGGAGATCCGCAGCTATTTATGGTTGGGAGTATCCCCTACTAACCTTCATCTACCTCCATTTGCTTCCTGGGAAAAATAAACATGTTTGCAGCAGTGATAGATCCCCTTTAAAACCAACAGGGGAACATAAAACATATTCATTTCAGCAAATGGAAAACTACCCGGGTTTTGAGGACATGGCTCAAATCGCAAGTCGAGGCGCGAAAACTCAAAGGCCAGGGCCAGAGTCTGCAACGTCGCTGGCAGACCTCGGAGCTCGGGTTTTCTGTTTTTCTGCTCTGCAAGGACGAAGTATGCAAAAGTTGTGCTTCGACCCTTCTGCAAAACGTGTGTCGCTTTTGGTGGGTGAAATGGACAACTTCCTGATTTCAACCAACACCATGTCCTCCAGTAAAGAGGTTAGAATAAGGGTGCCCGATTTATTTCTGTAGTCTATTTTAGTACGGGAACCCTCCCCCAAAAAAGGGTAACAGGGCGCTACTGGGGGACCTAGAACAAGTTGCAGTCTATAGATCCTATCCAGCAATCAAGAAAGGCAAAAGTGCCAAAAGATGCAGAGAGGTGGGCAACCAAACGTAGCAAGCACAGATTGTGCAACACGAAAACACACGTGCAAGCAAGCTAGCAACAATGCCCAGCAAGCCGCAAACACACGCAACAAGCCAACCGAAGGGAATCCAGTATCAGTCGCAGTAGAAATCAACAAGCATGGTGCCAACACATGCAAATCAGCATAGAAACGGCAAACAACAGGAACCAAACAAGACAGCACACAGAGACACAAGCAATCAACCAAAGACAGCAAACAAAGCAAGCAACAAGCCATACAAGCAGCAACCAGCCAACACCGAGCAACAAACAAGCAAACAGCTGGTAAAACAGAACAAACACACAGCAAGAAGAAGCAAAACACAAGCAACCGACCAGCAAAAAGAGAACAAGCAGCAAGCATACAACGGAACCAAAACTGGGCTACCCTCAGATCCCCCGCTGAAAGTTTTTTTAGTGGAATACATGGACTAAAAGCCCTAAAAGGCTAAGGGGATGGCTGGGAGCCACCAAGAAAAAAAAAGGTAAAGGAGAGCATTCAGAAGCCCAGCGCTGCCAAAGCGCTGTTACCGATGTGCGCCAAGCCAACGTCTGTGAACTGGTCCGGGCACACGAAGCTGAGACCAAGCTTTTGGAGTCCTTGGCGCGGACAAAAACCCGACGTGGCGGTGCAATCCTTTTGATTTCCCGTTGCACGTTGGAGGTCACAACCAAATACGCCACCGCTGTGCTTGTGCCCCGGAAGCATGCACTTGTTCAGTGGCTTCTCCCATGCTCTCCAAACCTTGTCAGCCCGGAACCAATCTTGGGGAAAAAAAGGGCACGACCTTGTTGCGAACCCCCCCAGTTTGCGAGGGAGATGTTGTGTGTGTGAAAGGGCTCATCTCATTTCCCCCTTTGGGGTGTGTGAAAGGGGTATATGGCCATGGGTCAAAATCCAAATCGTACCCCCAGTGAACATCCCAATACCTAGCCCAGAATGGTACCATTGACCCACAGCCACATGGCGGTGCACTCTTTTTGACTTTTCCCGTTCAATACGCAGGCTTAAAAGGGCTAGGTCCTCCAGTCGAGAGGTTAGAATAAGGGTACCCGATGTTTTTGTTCTTCTCCTTTTTTCATATCATCCCTTGAAAGTGACGGACACCAAAAGGAACCCATTTTAGGGGTCCCAGATCTTCGGAACATATCCATTTCATGGTTCCACTCCACGCGAAGGCGTCTCGCGTTCATTCGCCCAAACAAAACAATCACATTGGGTTTCATGTATTGAAAAAACAAACATTGGGCTGCGTTAGAGATATGCTGTCTTGCTTCATGATAATAGTAATAATAATAATGATAATAGGAGAAATAATGATCATGATCGTGAACATGATAATAACAATATTAATATAATAATAAAACTAGGAGTAATAATGATCATGATAATGATCATGATAATGATAATAAAAATAGACAAAAATAACACATATATATGTATATAACACATATACATATATATATATATATATACACACACGTTTTTTCCCCTTTTTTTACAAAGAATAAACATGCGTTAGCTATGCAGTCTTGCTTCAAAACACATCTAAACACACACACACAGACAAAAACAACTTCAGGTTTCGTTTGCCGGGTGTCCGCTTGGCAAAGTCTCCGAAATCTTCTCCAGCTCCTTGTCCGTCCTCCACTCCTGCGGCGTCGCTTCGCGCGAGACTTGCGCGTGCAAAAGCTGTCCCAGCGACTGGACCCTTCCGTTTCTGGAGCCTCAGTCTCAATTGTTCAGTGACCCTTTTTGGGGAAGGCCATTTTTAGTGCGGCAGCCACCAAAAAGGGAGAAAGGGTGCCACTGAACAACTCGGCAGTTCAAGCCAGTTTGGAGGTCTTGCTCGTCTTTTGAGGGTACCTTTTTGGGTTCTCTTTAAAATGAAGCCCATTGGCTTCGCAATCATTTGTTGGGGACCCCTTATCTCAGATGCCCAGTGGATTTCCATGGGAAAAAAGAATCGGCACCCCTTTTTGGGTTGATTGAGCTTCAAGGGGAACCCTTACCAAAAAAAGAAGGAAAAAGGGCACCACGGGGCAGCCGAGTCACACTCGACTTGTAATGTTGACCCCTCATGAATAACTTCCCCCCCCACCCCTATAGTTATCAATCAGAGGGATCCTTCTGGAAAGGAACCCCCAAAAGGGAGCCACCTTCATGAGAATCAGAGGTTGTTGCCATGTTCTTAGTTCTTTCTGGTTTTTAGGATATGTTCATGTTGTTTATCAACCAGCTGTCCATTTTTAAGGAGAAGCTGCTTCCACTCACCGGATCCCGAGCCACACCCAGTGCATGGGATTTTTTACCCCCGAAAGTGGGGTGTGGTGAAGCACAGCGGGGGTCCCGACCCCTACGTTTTCGCCCAATTTCGTGAGAGCAAACCCCCGTTTTTTGCTTTCTTTTTCTTTTTCCCGAGTGTTCAAGGTCCCAAGCAAGGACAGAACACAATGATCCGTACAAAAAACAAAAACAAAAAAAGCAAGCAGGGAAGCCTTCTTGTGGTTGACCAGGCCTGACGTCATGTCCTTTTCTTGCCTAAAAACCTTCAGGTCCGAATCCGCGATCCTCGGGAGGTTTTTGGTGACGAATGCCTTTCTGGTTGACAAGGCTGGCAATTGCTTTTCAGGAACTGCCATCCACTGAAAGGGGGAGTGTCCAAGCTTCCTTGGTAAGCCTGCGGGTCGGGTTTGAGGGTCTGAGAGGCATTTTTTTTTCGAGGGGGGGGGGGGCGGTCCTTAAAAGGACGCATCCGGATGCAAATAAGTCAAGTTGCTTTCCTTTGCCACGGATGCTTTATTTTCAAGCCATGTTGCCCCTCAAAAAAGAGGACGGGGGCTACCCATCGTGAACGTCAAGATCCCCCAAAAAACGGCGCGCCGCCCATGGCTCCTCAATGACATCCTCGAAGGTGCGAAACATCCAGGCGATGAACTGCGTCAGTGGCACCTCCCCCAAGGCTGGGTGACGAGCCACGCGTCGTGTAGGGGTGCTCGGCCGGCTGTTTTTTGGCCAGGGAACAAGGACTCAGTTGCTCAGTGTTCCTGGAAAAAAAGGGGAACCCTTTTTGGGGGAGACGATTTTTAGTGGGGCAGCCACAAAAACAGAGGGAAGAAGGGTGCCACTGAACAACTGAGAGGACACCCCAACAGAAAACAAGAAACATCTGATGGTTTGTGGTACTGTCGTGATTTTGACTGTTGGGGGTAGTCAGAAAATCTTGGAACAAGGACCTGACCCCAGGTTCTTTCACCCCCAAATCACGCAGGCGGGCGGAACGGACCATTCTCTGACTTTGACCACCCCCGGAAAGAGTGAAATCGTGGCCCCAAAGGAAATCCCCTGCAGATTCAACCAAGGGTTTGTGGTTTTGCATTGTCCTCCGCTGATGCCAGAGCAATCCATACAAAAGGAAACAAGATGCCGACAGGTTCTGAACAGAACCTTTCCTCATTAAAATAAATAAATAATAATAATAATAATAATAATAATAATAATAATAATATAATAATAATAATAATAATAATAATAATAATAATAATAATAATAATAATAATAATAATAATAATAATAATAATAATAATAATGATAATAATAATAATGATAATAATAATAGTAATTATGATAATAATAATAATAATACTAATAATAATACTAATAATAATAATAATAATAATAATAATAATAATAATAATAATAATAATAATAATAACAAAAATAATAATATAATAATACTAATAATAATAATAATAATAACAAACATAATAATAAAAAAAAACACGGGAAAATGGAGGTTCTGACAAACAACCTCGTTTTCTAATCCAAAACCCGGTTTTCGGACAATGTGATTTAGATTACAGGTTTATTTAGGGGCTTTGTGTGGGTTGAGCAAGGGTTCTGTACGGGTTCTGAAGTACAAGACCTGGCTTTGGGAAACAAACCCCGGTTGTGAAGGCGATATTCGCGGGGCACCAGGTTTTTCGAAACAGACCCTTCCTTTTGTTCGTGGGTTTTTTGATTTACAAGGGTAGGAGTTGGGGGAGAATACGTAAAGGGTTCTGGACGGAATCCGCGACTTGAGCTGTGCAGCTCAGGAAGAAATCGGCCTTTGTGGTTTTGGATGCAGGGGTTGAGAGCCGGTTCGTCCGGTACACACCACCTAAGGGACTGGGCTGTCCGTTTTCTGCGGTCGAAACCTGACGTGAAGAATCAGGGCATCACTCATTCGAGCTTGGCCGCCCCTAGACTCCTTCATCTAAAAAGCGACCTGGTCAGTTGGAATCCTGAGGCAGCTTACTTGTGGACTTCTGAAAGACCCTCAGGACCCCACAGGGTTCATGAGCAATGGCAGATGGATCTTGGCTCTGGAAAGGAAACACCTGTTGACCTGCATATGAGACTTGTTTTCATCCTTCCTATATGGCTGTGGTTCTCAAAACCCTGTACCCCTGGCCACTTTGAAACAATGGTTGAAACCATGGTTTGTTGGTATTTACCAGGGGGAATCGCAAATCAGACACCTGGGTTTTTATTGGGCTGCGCCGTGGATTTCGCCACCATCCACAGGTGCCGTCCATGGGCCGTTTTTTGCCTCAGGCAAAGCTTCGTCCGGCATAGGACTGGAAGCTCGGGGTGCAACTCCCGACGTCCCAAGCCGCCTTGAAGCTTTCCGAACCTTTCGGCGAAACCCCGAAAAGCAAAAACAAGAAAATCCAGCTGGCCCGACCATCAGTCCGGTACTAAAATGGTCGTAACCCCGGAACCATGCTTCAAGAACTAAGAAGGCGGAGTCCCGCAACTATTGATGGCAAGGGGATAGTCCCTGACTAATCTTCATCCACCTCCATTTGCTTAAGACGCCTGGGAAAAATAAGATGATTCCAGTAGTGATAGATTCCCTTTAAAACCAACAGATAAAAACCTATTCATTTCAGCAAATGGAATTCTACCCGGGTTTTGAGCACGTGGCTCAGCTAACCCCAAAGAAGCAACCCGAAACGGCTTGAATGTGCCAAGCCTTGCCGTTCTTCTCGGTGTCCATGGCCTGACATCCGCCGAAAATTTGACCGGGGGGCAAGTGATGGTAAAAAACACACACACACAAAAACAAAACGACTGTTTTCTGGACGTCGATTTTGGGGGAACCCTCCCAAGGGGAGTGAAGGGCACCGATCGCTGGGGACCTGGTAAAGTGACCTTCGCCGAAGCCGAGCAGAAGGATGCACTGTTTCCATAGTCGCATTGACATGATTGTAGTTAGACCACCCGCGGAAGAACAGGTAGCCACCGTCAAAGGACTCCTTAGGTGAAGAAAACCTCGCAACTGGGCGCTTCGTCTGGACCAAGTTCGAGCCACGGCTCGAACATGTTTCTGGGTGCCCCCCTTCGGCTCGGCGTCGGTGACGAGGACGATCCCCGTTGTTGTCGTTCCAGCCGTTGAATAGGGGCCGTTCGAAGTTTGGGGTCAGCTTATGGAGTTTTAGAGCGTTTTAACGTATGCTGGTTGGTGGTTTTGGGGTGTTTTGCACTCCCCAACACTCCACAATCCCCACTTCCCACACTCCCAACAATCCATGCTCCACACTCCACACTCCGCACTCCGCACTCCACCTCCAAGTCAAACATATGGGCGTTGGTCGAAATTCTTTTGTTTTTTTTTCGCCTTCCGGCGCCCTTTCGCGAAACTTACGCTTTCTTTCGCGCCCACAGTGGGGCGCACATGGTCGACAGCCCTCGGTCGACAACACCACTAAAGCGTCAAAAGCCTGCTTTGGGAACCAACAACCCAACCCGAATGCTATTTTCCAACGCCTAAAACAGGTTTTGGGGTGCTAGTCTGTGTATTCTCAAGGAAAGACTCATTTGAACACGTTTGGACACTTTTGGCTCCTGCAAACCAACCCAACACCTGCGCAAATGTTATTTTCCAGTGCCCAAAACAGGTTTTGGAGGTGCCTGGTCTGTATTCTCAAGGAAAAGACTCGTTTGGACACTTTCCGCCCCTTGGCCTGCAAACCAACCCGGAACCTGCCCAAATGTTATTTTCCAGTGCCCAAAACAAGTTTTGGGCGCTTTCTAGTCTGTACCCTCAAGGAAAAGCTCATTTGAACAATTTCGGCCCCTTGACCTGCAAACCAACCCAACACCTGCCCAAATATTATTTTCCAGTGCCTAAAACAGGTTTTGGGGGGGGCCCTGGTCTGTATTCTCAAGGAAAAGACTCGTTTGGACACTTGGCCTGCAAACCAACCCGGAACCTGCCCAAATGATATTTTCCAGTGCCCAAAACAAGTTTTGGTGGCTTCCTAGTCTGTACCCTCAAGGAAAAGACTCATTTGAACAATTTTGGCCCCTTGACCTGCAAACCAACCCAACACCTGCCCAAATATTATTTTCCAGATTCTCAAGGAAAAGATTCGTTTGGACACTTTCCGCCCCAAACCAACCCGAACCTGCCCAAATGTTATTTTCCAGTGCCCAAAACAAGTTTTGTGGGCTTCTTAAGGAAAAGACTCATTTGGACACTTTTGGCTGGTCACTGCCCAAATATTTTGCAGCGCCCCAAAACAAGTTTCGGGGGCTCTCTAGTGTGTACCCTGAAGGAAAAGACTCATTTGGACACTTTCGGCCCCTTGGCCTGCAAACCAACCCAGAACCTGCCCAAATGTTATTTTCCAGTCTTGAAAACAGGTTTTGGGGGTGCCCTGGTCTGCATTCTCAAGGAAAGACTAACCTGGCCAAATCTTATTTTCCAATGCCAAGAAACAGGTTTTGAGGGTGCCCTGGTTTGCATCTTGTGGACCAACCCCGAAACAGGCCCAAATGTTATTTGGCCTTGGCCGAAATAGCTTTTGGGCAACCCCCAACAACGGCATACCAACATGCAGGGGCGAGGGGCACATATGGCATAAACAACAGTCCAAAAGCTATTTCTACAGCATTGAAAAATGTTCACACCATTCAGAGTGCTAAATCAGCATCCTTTATCATCATTGTGGCCAGCCCTTTCGCCAAACCTTCCGGCGCCCACTCGCGACCTTTCGCGCGCGCAGCGCCAGAACACATGAATATGCTCCTTACTAAACTTTTACACATGGGTTTTTGACCGTCGCCCATATATCAACCATCAGAATCATCAGACATAATATCAATCCTCACAATATCAAGCATCAAAATCAGACATACATCACTCATCCAAATCCGACATATCTCAATCATCCAACTCAAAGGAACATACCCCCTACGCCAAATACCCTCTTTTTTCAGAGTATCATGTCGACCCTCTACTAAAAAAGGAGGTATTTACCATGGAAAACCAGGGTTGCAAAAATACCCTGAAAAAACTGGCATTTTGAGTAGGGGGTACTCATTCTAACCGCAGTCGGCGGAAGGAGCTGGAGGTGCCGCTGCCTTTGTGCCTTTCTTCCCAACAGGATCTTGCTTGCATTTGGGAAACAATGAGAACATATTTCCAGTAGCGATCAATTCCTTTTCAAACCGACAAGGGAAAAATATTAAGAAAATGGAGTCGAGATTCTGAGTCAAGCACTACTGTGGATGGACGAAATCCACTTCGCACCACCTAAGAAACCCATGGCAAACCAGGGTTCGTGGGTATTTACGTTGGGGAATCCCTGCTGAGAACCCCTGGAAAGTGCGAAGGCATTTCGTCCGTCCACAGTGCAAGGCCTGGAGAGAAACAAGAACATGGAAACTCGAACCGGTGCTTTCTTTTTCTCCGGGTGCGAGCTTTGCGCAGAGAAAATCGAGCCCCTCGATTCACCTAACAGGGCGCTGTGAGACCAAAGTTGCTTCCCATTGCAGCGGGTGTGGGTGGCGGGCATGACACAACAGCATTTCTCCCAGACCCTTATTTCAGGACTGCCAGGTCGAATTCACAGTGAGGTCGGGTGACCTCGCTTTACTTTACCCAGTTCCCATGCATGACTTCTTTCTCACCAATCGATTCCTGCAGATCCGGACCACACGAGGCATGAGAAAACGGTCCAACCATTTTGGGGTTGAAAAGATTCCACCTGGAAAGGGAAATGGAATCTCTCCCAGCCAAAAGCAACAGCACAAAACCATCGACAGCCCAAGGATTGGAACGGGCCTGACAGCTTCAGTTTTCCATTCCACGAAAGGAACTATCGACAGGCCAAGACTCCCATCGACTGTTGGTTCTAACCGACACGGTTGTAATGGTGCAGTGTAGGCCTTACCCCCCCCCCAAAAAAAAAGAAAGTATGGTAGTTCTTTTTTTCACCAGGTAGGGCCAATGGAAATCACTTCCATGCGCGCTGCACGCTGGTTGCTTGGACCCGAATGGCTGGAATTGAATTCGCCTCCACCAACCTCTCGACCTCCCGCTGGGACAGCGTGGGGCAGCACGCGCCCATCACCTTCTTCAGCATCGCCTTGCTGAAAATCTGGGAAACCAATCGGTCCCCTGAAATCATAGAACCAGTTTCCGGTGGGTCATTCTTTTGAATACCAAAATGGCAAACGAAATCCGGTTGGGTTTTCCCACAAAAACCGAAAGGGGGTTCACTGAGCAGTCCCAAAACATGCGCTCAACCAGGGGGGGGGGGGGGCAGCAAGTAGCGCTTTTTCGCCTCACTTTGAAGCCACCCCAACAGGGAACCCTGACCATTCCAACTTGACCCTTTAGGGTGCCTCAATCCCTGAAAATTAGGCACAACTCAGTTGTTCAGTGACCCTGGAAAAAAAGGGAACCCTTTTTTGGGCTTGGACCATTTTTAGTGCGGCAGCCACCAAAAAGGGAAAAAAGGGGGCCACTGAACAACTGAGACAAACGTCCACTTTGAGATTCACTCCTGGTCAGTTGATTTGGCGAGCATCCTGCTGGGCCCTTTCAGCAGTGTCTTCGTGCTTTGTTCAAAAATATGTCGGTTGTAAGGTACTTGCTTTTGGTATGACGAATCGCGCGAATCGCATCAACCTGGACCCTAAACATGCTCCTGAAAACTGGTTATTGACATATCCTGCCAAGCAATCCACGACCATAAATCGCGGTCCAACACGATGCCCTTTGCCCAGAACCCTTGATGCTAGGTCATGTCTGCTGAAATGGACTGCAAGGGGAAAACCAGTGCCCGGCACGGTCGCGACGCGTGCTTTTCTAGGTCCTCCAGTAGAGAGGTTCGAAGAAGGGTACCCCTTTTTTTTGTAGTCTATTTAGTAGGGGACCCCTCCCCAAAAAAGGGTCAAAGGGCACTACCGGGGGGCCTAATTTCTCAAGGGATCGGGTCTCAAAGGCGGTAGGGCGAAATGGATAGAAACGGCATTTTCGAAAACGCTCACATGCAGACATGTTCGAATCTATCCGAGCAACATGTCTTCACTGTGCAAACTGGCCGACTATTTCACCATCAAAGTCACCCAAGTGGTAGGTTCAAGGGAAACCGCCCGCGGTCGACTTTTGATAACCCCAGAAACCGTGAGAAAATCACCTCCATTTCCGTTAAGTCCCCTGGAAAAAATGAGAAACACTTTCCAGTAGTAATAGATTCCCTTTCAATCCAACAGGGGAAAATAGAAACATATTCTTCACCAAATGGAAGATCATGGCCTGCTTTTGGTCTCCCTTAAAGGGAATACCGAGGTCGGCTTCTTCCGCCAGATCCTTTGGCGAGTCTCTGCTGGCACAAGGCCTGAGCCGGACGCATCGATGCCAAACATGTTGACGGAAAACCGATCGGTGTTCCATGGTAAAACCCTCCTTTTTTAGTAGAGGGTCGACATGATATCCTGCAAAAAAGATGGTATTTGGAGTAGGGGGTGATTTATCAAGGTTGTTCATTTCCCGAGACAACCAGTTCACACCCTGGCTTCCTCACTCCAAAAACGAACATCGTTAGGAATTGTTTGTTCACATTTTCAGGGTCTTCCCAAGTCTGTCCAGGAACTCAGGAACCACTGGACACAACCTAGGCCTTCTATTTCTCCCAGCAGTTGGAATGGATGGCAGCCCCAACCAGTGGCGGACATGACTCCCCGCCCTTTTTTCCGATGCAACAAACTTCACACCCATTTCTTCCTTTTGATATTTGATTCGCCGACAGACTTTGTCCAAAAGATTTGGCATCTGCACGTGCTGCAGCAACCGAATCGGGCAATTTTCGGTTGAGAGGTGAAACGGCTGCACCAGCTTGCTTGCATGCTTGTGGCCAACCCTCAGGTACTGCCCTTCCTTGTCTTGTGCTTGTTGACAGCTTGTTGTGAGGTTGAGGGTAGGTGTGGCAGTTATTGAACGCCCGCCCGCCCGCCCCTTGTCACAAGCCCAAGTGCTTGTCTGGGTGTGGGGGCTGCTGAGAGCAGTGGGTTGGACCTGCTGCCCTCAGCTGCCCATGTGTCGACCATGCGTGAAAACCAAGTGGGAGGGGAGTGCCTGTGGGTTTAGATGTTCTTTATATGGTCTTATAAACATGTGGGTATGTATTTTTGCAAACCTGTGCCTTTCTGTATACGTGACTGTTGAGGCAACACACCGGTTGAATGGGTTCAACAAAAATTGACTCTTGGCAAATCATCCCAATGGATAAAACATGCTGTGCACATGATTACAACTGCAATACTAGCAAGCTCAGTTGCCCCTAAGGGACCCGGCAATGAAAGGTTAGCCTTTTGGGGCCATGACTAAAACAGACCACTGGAAAAGCAAAAGGTCAACAGGTTGGGCAAGTGAGCAAGGGAAACATTTACCAAGTTTGTGTACCATCCGATCGCCGCCGACTTCAGCAAAGCAGCAGCCCAGCAAAGCAGCAGCCCAGCAAAGCAGCAGCCCAGCAAAGCGCAGCAGCCCAACAGCTTAACCCAACTCAACAGCCCAACATTCGCCCTTCAGCGATAATCATTTTTCAAACAGTATGCCCTACGTACCAGCCCGGAACCCCAGCCCGGAACCCCAGCCCGGAGCCGCTCCGAACCACTCCGGAGCCTATCTAGGAACAATCCAGATCCCAGTTAAAACTACCGCCCCCGTGAAGGCTGGTCAAACAAAACCATCTCAAACCATCTCATGCGGCTTGTCTCAAATATAGTTGTGCCATTCTTTGGATCGTTTCCAAGCGAACCCAAAAAGACACCAGAGCACAAGCACACCCTTATATGCAGGCCATCCTCCCAATCGCCCGCGTTCTTCTTTCCCCGCGTTTTTCGCCCGCCAAAAACATCAAAGCTTCCGCGTCCGAACTCCGAACCTTGTCCCAGGTGGGACCCCCGGCCGTTGCTGGCCCCATGCTTCGTGAAGAGCTCCACCACCCGTGCCAGCTGCACATCGCGCTCCGTCATGGCTTCGGCGCGCGCGCTCGCGTCCGGCGGGCGGGCGGTCGCGGGAGTCTGCGGCTTTTTCGGATGGGAGTCCGCGATGGGAAGTCTGTTGAAGTCGTGGCTCTCAGTTAGAAATGATGGGAGTCTGCGGCTGGAAACTTGGGAGTCTGCGATGGGATCTTGTGGCAAAGAAACGCAGGTGGAGCATTTGAAGTGCATTTGCTTGTGAACTCCAGGATTTGACACATTGCCATGCTTGGGGCTCTTATGGCTGCCCTGAGCCAAAGAGACACCACGCCTGCGAGCTTCTCTCTTGCATGCACCGAAGCATTTCAAGTTGGATTGTTGAGACGTAACTTTGCTGGTGGGCACGCCACTTTGGAGACCTCGCCAGGTTTTTGTTGAAACAATGCCCTGAGGAAACAATAAATAATTAAATCAGTAAATAAATCAAAGAATGCTCTCAGAGCTTGGGTTGCAAAGCCCCAACAAGCCTAAGTTCCGTCCCATCTCGGGATGAGGCAGCAAATCACATCGGCAAGGTCGAATGGATGTTGTTCCTCAGAAGCACTTTCCCCCCCCCCCCCCCCCTCGTGCTTTGATTGTGCGGCCAATCAACCACTGACAATAATTACCTAGAGTCTGGAGTCTCCGACGCTGAGAGATGGGACTGCCCTTAGAGCATCCCCGGTTTTGCGCAACTTGGGGACACCGGGTCAGGCCAGACTCTCGCAAACCGAGGTCTGGTGAATATGAGAACTGCGGGGTCAAAAATGGATTGCCAGTGAGATTGCCATGGGCATTGACGTGAAACGGCATGCCCCCTAAAGAGTTCACCGCCCACAGCATGCTTGAAGCTGCCTGCCCCCCCGTTTCCGAGGCAAGTCCTCCGGTGCAAGGAACTTTCGGAACCGAGCTCAACACAGGGCCCGTGGCTCGCGAACGCGTCGAGATTCAGCGGAATTCTCAGGGGGTTTATGACTTAGGGTTTAATTCAATACCATGGGTACCTGAAGATGTCGGGCAATGTCTCAACATCCGCGAGCCCCAAAGGCGGTTGTACTTGAAGTGAGGCCATGTGCTTTTTTTGTTCTCATAGGTGTGAGTTGTATCAGCCAAATTTGGGAACCGATCGATCCAAAAGGGTGCGGGGACCCTCTTTGTGGATTGGAAAAGCCTTTGGTGTCAATCCATGGCTTCGGGGTGTTGACCCATGGTTTGGTTGGTGGCGATCCCTCCTTTTTCGTGGATCGACGCCCTGTGGTTTTTGTGGTACAAATCCTGATCCGATCGATCCAAAAGGGGGGGGGGTGTCGCTTTTGTAGGGGACCCTCTTGTTTAAAAACGCCAAACCAGTTTTTTGACCGAAGCCAAGTTTTTTGCCTGCCAAACCAGTTCTTGACCTTTTTGTAGGGGACTCCTCTTTCGAGCACCGAAGCCATCTGTTGACCAAAACGCGCCATCCAACGGCTTCCCGAAAAACTTCCGTGGCACGCGCACGCGCTTTCCCGCGCCGACCGGGCACCCGCACGCCAGCGCAGGCACCTCAAAGCTTCGGCTGGAAGGGTTCGAAGGGTGTCTTGCTTTTGAGTTGGTACCCTTTGGTTTTGTTTGAGGGAAACCAACAGCAAAACCGGAAGTCGACAGAACCAGGTTCTTCGTGTTGTTTGAGGGAAACCAACTGGAAAACCGGAAATAAACAACTTGCTTGGTTTTGAGTTGGCAGCTTGTCAACTGAAAGCTTGGGGGTCCAAAGGCCCAGATGGTCAGATAGGCTCGCTTCGGGGTGCTTCGCGGCTAGGGTTCGCAAGGAGTGCTCCAGGGGTTGCAGGGGGGTCGGGTCTGCTGTAAACCCATCAGAGGCGACCAGAAAACAACTTTGTTTTTGTTCTTTGCTCAGGTGTGTCAAGCGATCCCTGAAGGGCCAATTGGCAGTGGGTCAAAAATAGGGTAACCCCAACATGGAACCCTGGTAAATGGACACATGGACTACAACCTGCGGTCCCCCTGTGGTTTAAATTTGACCTATATCCAATTAAAGTGTCCTTCTGTTTGCACATGAGGGTGTACCCGATTAATGCCATAGCTCATCCATAGCTTCAGAGTACTCGCAGCCTTAGTTTGCCGGGCTACATGCACATGTTTCGGGCAAGTAACGGGGCAACCTTCGCCCAAATGGTGCACGCTGGCACACGAACTACCTTCATGCTGTGGATGTGGGGTCATACATTCTAGCGCGAGAACAACATGCGCAGTACGGAAGGTCCACTTTGGGTGATTGGAGATCTGCCCTTTCGCAAAGATGCACGGCGTTGGCCTTCTACTCGGCCCCTAGCAACACCATGATTGATTGCTTGCTTGATGTTGGTCACCTGTAAAACTTGCGTGCATGTTGTTTCTCAGATGCCCAGTGCCCATAGGAAAAAAGGGCACCTTTTTTTGTTGGTTGAGTTTCAAGGGGAACCCTTACCCCAAAAAAAGTTGAACAATAATTGGCACCACTGGGCAACAGAGGTTTGCATGTTGTTTGCTTCGTTAAAACCGGGGTCTCTCATTTTGCTTGAGGTTGGCCACTCGAAGCGTTCTGATTGAACGCGGAGCAGTTCTGACTTTCTGATGGACTCACGGACCTGTTGCTAACCTGGGCTGTCCGTTTTCTGATCACCGGCGATTGCCCTTCATCCACCAGTCACTCATCAGGTGGACAAAATCCGAGTTAAATCTCACTTGCCCAAAGGACCTGGACACAAAAGGTTAGCCTTTGGGGGTCATGACTAAACATGGACCCGAAACGGAACACCGAAAGGCCAAAATCGATTCGAATCTTTTGGACCGAGGAATGCCTGCAAGCGCTGATGGGATTTGGGTGTGGCCCAAAATTAAACAGGAGGGGCAAACCGCAGGTTTTGGTCCATGTTTCCACTTACCAGGTTCCATTTTGGTACCTCGCTTCCTGAGTTCATTGGCCAACAAAAAGTCCAAACTTTTTGTTTACCACCAAAATGGCCTTCCCAAAACGTATAAAGTCCATGAATCTCAGGGAGTTTTTTCCGCCACCGCCATTTGGTCCATGTCAGCCATTGGGTCGCAGGCCAGCAAGGCCACCGCGCAGAATTGCCTCCGAGGTGGCGACATGACGCGTGTTCTTTCCACAAAAAACCCCTCGCCAGTTCGAAATGGAGCGTATCGTTTGCTGGGTACCCCAGAGAAGTGGAAAAGTGCTGTTGCTCCTTCTGCCTTTTTTCTTAAACCTGCAAAAGCGCCTTGAGATCCCGGGACAATTTTTGGGCCAGGGCCTTCCGGAAGGGTTCCATGTGGCCCGAATCATGGACTCACCTGTAAAATCTCAGGAGTCTCTTGAGGGAGACCCCTGGAAAGCTCCATGTTCACCTGGAGAGTACCTGGACCCTCACAGTTCCCATAAAAAAAAGGCTCTCGCCCCAAAATTAGGGAATGAGAGATGAAATCCACAAGGAGCTTCGGTCCTGGCTTCCATTTGACTTTGTATTGCTCGAGCATTTTGAATTTGATTTGAGGATCCAGTTGATTCAGTATTGTTGGAGTTGAGTTTCTATTTGATTTCGTTTTGCTGCAGCTCAAACATGGGTGCGACCCAAATGGCCCGCATTCATAACATGTGATCCCACATTCTCAACATGGCCTGGGCACTCATGTGGCGTACCTCATGTGACCTTCTCAAACCATCATTGCTTGAAAGGGACTTTTCAGATAGCCACGTTGGATTTCAGGGCGTTCTGGCTGATGGTGTTTCTGCTGGCTTGGCAATGCTTCATGGCTGAGCTGGTAGCGCAAAGCTGGCACCGGCAGCCTTCTTGGTTTGCATGACAAAGCAAATGGAAAGCAAATGCCGGCAAGGTTTCGTTGCAGCAGCCTTTTTGTTTATTTAGGGCGGAGCTTCTTGAATTGGGGGTCATCTTGTGGGAGTCCGGCTTGGTTCCATGTTTTTTGTTGTTATTCAGGTGAATTCCAGCTTTACAAGTTGTGTAGTGTTGGGGGGTCCTGGGCCGCCCGGTTTAATACCATGGGTTCATTAATCCTAGGTTGACATTATTCTATCAGTTGATTCCTTTTCCATTCTTTCCATGCATCGTTCTTTTCGAAAACCGGATCCTTTCCCCTGCATTTCCGGAGGTTATCTGGAAAGATTCGGATCCCTGGAAAGAATGGAAATTGGAGGTAGCACTAGAATTATTGGGGCAACCCCTCAGGAATAAAGTGAAAGATGCACAGGTCTGCCCCAGTCTGCCCATAAACCCAGCCTCATTGGTCACATCCGATCCATCGCGCGATTTGGGATAGCTATCAGTATCAACTTTACATGCCAATCAACCGACAGACATGTTTTCTAAACTTCGACTGACAAACATGTTTTTCTAAACCAGCCGCTAACGACGAACAAACCCAAAAAACGATGCCAGTTGCCACACGAAACGAGTCATGCTAAACCTTCCTGATGCCACCGATGCTGCCGCCTGCTGCCCGCACTCGGTGGCTTTGGGGCATCATTTGCTGCCAGACTCTCTGACCTTGTGAATGGTCAACCAAATGACCCTGCTTTAGAACCCGCTTCATTGGAAAAACAGATGGCCCTGGTAAAAATGGGATCAATCCAAACCAGTGGAACTCATCGATTTCAAGCCAAACGAACCTGGGACCAGTGAGGCCCAAAACCCCGGGCCATTGGCAACCCTCTCGTTTGCGCTGCATTCTATGCTCGAGCTCGGGCGCAGGGCGGCCTAAAAGCAAAATGGTTTGAACGCGTGGCGCGATTTCCTGGTCCAAGAGGGCTCCAGGAGGGCTCCCGAGTGATTTCCCCAGGGACTCTCACCTTTCATTGGGCCCAAGAAGGTGATGTTCGAAACCAAAAGGGACATGTAGCCCCGGTCCAAAGTGGGATTCGGAGGCATTGTCTGACAAGCGGGGCCTGGGTCAAAGAAAAAGGTAGCCCCAACATGGGTTGCCCGATCGGTAAATGGACAGATGGACTCAAGCCTGCGGTCCCCTATAATTTAATTTTGATCCATGCCCAGATGGGTGCGTCTCAAAACAAGGGTACCCCCAAAACGGCGGCTTTTCTTTTGGTTTGCCTTAAAATCATCAACCAAAAAGGGGGTCTAGCATTCATATTGTTGCCACTACATGCCCTTTTCATGCTTGGCCATTCGAACTGCTTGACCCCTCGTCCGTGTCCGTGACAGCAGGGCTGGCTTTTCGGCACGCCGCTGGCTCGCTCAGGCACCCTGGCCGCGTCGCGAACGGCTCACAGAAAGTGTTTGCGTCTCCCTGTGGATGGTTGCGAAATCCATCTCGCACCGAAGCTTCACCCAAAAAAAAAGCTTCGATTCCCCAACGCAAATACCAAGAAATGGTCTCAACCATGGAAACCCCAAGTGCCAAATCGAGTTCGTCCAGGACAGAACCAAGGCTCACACAGGCTTGAAGCATTCAGGCATCGAATGTTTCGGGTTCATTTCTGGAGGCGTTCACGTCAAGTCGCAAGCTGCCAGTTGCCATGTGAGTCGATATCAACATGGCCTATCAGGGATCCGGATGCGTGAAAAACACCTGAACCTTGTAAATGCTGGGTTCCCTTTATGTTGGTGTTGAAAAAGCCACATGTTTCAAATGGTTGCAACCAGGCCCCCCCGATGGCCGGTAATTGGCTTCCCGGGTGAAGTGCCGGCAATTGACCAGCACTTGCTTAAAAATGGTTTTGTAGTCACATAGATTTGTTTGCCATCATCAAAGTGCAGTGAAAAGTCACTTTTGTTGAAACGTCACTTCAGGATACCAATTGAGGGGTTGGGCTGGCATGTATGATCATTTGCACATGCAACGCGCGGGGGCGGGGGGGAGGGGGGGCGACACTTGGTGACACGCACACATCCCAAGAAAGTGACCGTTCAACGTACATGTGCCGGCAATTGGCCACCCCCCGACACGCCGTGACACGCTCCTCAAGAACCCCTCCCAACCTCAAACTTGCCCTCCAAACCTCAAATTTGCTGCTCTCCCCTGCAACCCCATTCCAAAGGACCCTGAAAGGTCACTTGTATCATTGCACAAATTGCACCAAGTACAGATGAGTGATTCTTGATAGCAAGATGCTTTTGCAGTCACTTAGACATAAAGTGACATCGGTTTGCCCAAAATCGATGTCAGCCATTGGGGGGTGCTGGAAAATGAATTTCTTTTAAGGAGCCCTGTCTATGCAAAGAATTAAGCAAATGAGGAGGCCGCACCAATATGGGTGGGACTGTCCCTTAGTACCCTTCACTTACCCAGGTATTTGATTGTGACTTATGTCAGCCATGGTCAACACTCCTTACATGTCCTATGGTCATGTAACCCTCAACAGGAATCTGTAAAAATGGCTAAGGAATCCTACTAGCAAATGACCATCCAGCGACTCATGAAACCCATCTGCGGGGAACCCGCCCTGGTTTCGCTACCTGCTGGGTTTGCAACGGGGCTGCTGATTGCATTCCGGAGAACGTTGCCGAGAAAAAAAAGGTGCCCAAGCAAATAAACATTTGCAGACTCGAAGCAGGGAAGGAGGCTCCACGTCAAATCGCATCTGCTCACTCTGTTTGACCCAAAGCTGCCAGTAGCAAGCTGCAGTTTCATGATCTGCTACAGGGTAGTCTGAAATAACATGGAGCAAAAAGGTTCGAACCTTCGTTGTCAATGTGCGCAAGTGCCATGTCCCGCCATCTCAACATGCATTGGTGGCCAGCATGCCACGTGTCCAGAAACGCAGAAAGCAAGGTTCGATCAACTAGTTGTCCAACTCGTGGCACAACTCCTAGGTCCTCCAGGGTTAGAATAAACCTACCCTTTTTGCTGTAGTCCTCCCCCAAAAAAGAGGAGAGAGGGGCACTACTGGGAGACCTGGTTGGAGACTGCCATGAACTGCACATTCTCACCGCAACCATGCCCAAGCTTCTCGCTGTCACGGTGACGGAGCAGTCACTGGTAAAATCGACGCGCTGTCCAACCTGGCGGCATGAATCGAACTGCACCATCGCGCCATGCGCCATTGAATGGATCTGATGTCAAGCGCGAAAAGCCGCCTCTTTAGGTGAGTTTGGCTAGAAATAGATGGGTTCTACTGGTTAAAATTGGGTTTATGCCATTTGCCAAGGCCAAACAATTTTCCAAAAGCGTCTGCAAGCTGAGAAGTTTCGAAGGAACGGCCAAGCAAACCACATTCCATGGTTGACAGCGGTGGTTCTCTCTTTTGGCCCGCAGGTCGTGCAACCTGATCGGGCAAACATGTTGGATCCGGCTACCCTGTTTTTCACCACAGCCAAATGGTTTCTATTTCAACTTGCCCAAGTTGCGACACATCCGGAGAGGCAAATGGACCCCGGAGAGGCCTGCTGCTCGTGCCATACCCCTCTCCCCCCTGAAAAAAAGTGGGTTGGAAGCCAACTGAAGCCAAGGGCTACGAACAAGATGTACTTCCAGTTGCACATACCCTTTTTACATTCCCTTTGGTGGGTTACCAATGGAAACCCAACCACTAAACCAACTAAAACCAAGCAAACAACCAACTTCTCACCAAGTAAAGAACCAACTAACACCAAGCAAAGACCAAGTAAAAACCAACTAACACCAAGCAAAAACCAAGTAAAATCCAAGTAAAAACCAAGGAACACCAAGCAAAAACCAAGCAACAACCCAGCGCAAAAGCCACCCCAAAACCCTTCTGCCGCCGGATTGGGCCTGGGATCTTTCAGCTCCGCCAGCTCCGCCTTCTTCAGCTGCTGCCTGCAGCCGCGAGAAGCGGTGGCGCGGAGCCGGTAACCGGTGGAACAAATCGGGGCGAAGGAAAGAACATAGGAACAGCCCCTGGAAAACCATGAAAAAAAATGGAACCGTTTTTTTGTTGGGCCCGGAGCCTCCCTGGAGCCTCCAGAAAATTGGAAGGCGAAGCCATGGTAAAGAACAAAGACCTGGAGCCTCCAAAGTCCAAGTTAAAAAATGGTTATGAACCTTTCACAGGTGGGAAACACATGGTCAACAAATGTGCCTGGAGCATCCTGGAGCCTCCAAGTTCCAAGTTCACACATGGGAAATATCGCTTGCCCCAAAATGATGGTGGGTCAGTTCAAACTTTTTTTGGGCAGTTTGGGGGTCCGGGCTCCCTCGGCTTCAACCAAAAACCCGGAGGACACTCTCCTAGGGAACTCTTTGCGGACCTGCGCAGACTTGGGGGTCCCCCAGCCCTCTCAGGTCAGCTTGCAGACGCTTTTGGGAAAAAAATGATGGCCTCGGCAAATGGCATACACCCAACTTTAACCACTAGAACCCATCCATTTCTAGCCAAGCTAACCTAAGGAGGCGGCTCTTTTCGCGCTTGACATCAGATCCAGTCAATGGCGCCAGATCCCACGATTTAGAACCGAATCCAATCCAATGCAACAGCCCCGTGTCGTGCCCCTACCATCCATCAGTTGTATTGAAATTCCATTTGGGGTCATTGGCTTACCTCAAGGCCACAAGGTGTGCGCCAATCCTGGTCATCTCTCCAGGGCAACCCCTGGCTCTACATATGTAGCGCAGCTACGTCTATATCTATCTTTCACCCCTCGGACCCATCAAGCAAGAACTGGAATATAGAAAAATCCCTGATTAAAGAAAACAGCTTCTTGGGGTTCCAAGGCCTGCTAACTCAGACGGGTTTGATCACGACCCTGTGAATACAAAGCGAAAACTAACACCTCGGCTGATCCTATGGCTGTCTCTTTTTCTGCTTTTTTTTTGGGGAGGGGAACCCTTTTTGGGTTCCCTTTTTGCTTTTTACAGCAAAGCAACACGAGGCGGGCCAAAACGAAGCTAACCAGTTTTACTGGCTGATAACCTCCGTGCTCGTTGTTTTGTACTGAGTCGCCAATTCCTGCTTCTACCCTGAACGCCGGGGCAAACTTGCGACATGTCGAAGCCCACAGGGTCAGAGTTGGTTCTTTGCCCATATTTACCCAAAGAGAACACTCGACATGGGAAACTGGTGAGTCCTTGCGTGTCCTTCGAGCAGTTTGCACCGAACCTGTCTCTTTTTTGAGGGCACCTTGTGTGGGGTAGATTTACAGGGAGACCAAAAACGGGGGTCCCAAACCCGTCTTTTCCCCTTGCTTTTGGCATAGGTCCCAAATGACTGTTGGCTCTACCAAAATGGATATAAAGCTTTCTATAGCTCTCTCTCTCGCTCTCTCTCTTGCTTTTGGTGGGCTTGGTTTAAACCGTAAACCGAAGGGACCACCACCATTTCTGGTGTCCTATTTGAGACACACCCATACAGGCCCTACAACCAGCATTTGACGAACCATAAAACCACCTGGACCCTTCAAAATTCCCCTTAAAAAATCAGATTCTTATTTAAACAAACAAAAACCCCTTTCAAAATTGAGTAGTTCCCGTTAAAAGGGCTTTATTTTAGGTACATCCTTATTAACTCCATCCCTTTTAGTAAAACCACCTATTATTTTTTAGGTACATCCCTATTAAATCCCGTGAAAATTTCCTGATTACCCCCAACGTTCGGAGCGAATTGCTCCTCTGCTACGGGTACCCCCTACTCCAAATACCCTCTTTTTTCAGGGCATCATGTCGACCCTCTACTAAATGGAGATATTTACCGGTAGTTATTGCACCAACAATTATGGGGTGAATTGCTCCCCAAATTTTAGTTTGAGGGTCTTGGCAGGTCGTCGAACTAGGCCCTCCAGTAAAGCGGTTAGAATACGGGCACCAACTTTTTGCTGTAGTCTATTTTAGGGGCACCCTCCCCCAAAAAAGAAACGGTAAAAGTTGGCACCGATCGCTGGGGGTCCTAGTTCACCTGTTGGCTTGCCATGACTAAGAATGAAAAAACGGATGTTCAACAGGTCAAGTCAGAAGGGAACCCTGCCCAACCAACAGAAAGGCCACCTGTCGGGAAAACCTAGCAACGCTTCCCTCCAAGAATTAGAGGGCTGGGGCTGGGTGATGGTATGATCTCGACCCTCTATTTACCATGGAAAACCAGGTTTTACCCAAAAAATTGAGTAGGGGGTAGTTAATGTGCCAACATTTATGCAGTGAATTGCTCCCCGAATTTTAGTTTGAGGGTCCAGGCAGGTAGTCGAATGTCCTCCAGCAGAGAGGTTAGAATACGGGTACCCTTCTTTTGTGTAGAATATCATAAATAGGAGGGGAACTCTCCCCCAAAAAAGGGACCTAGCAGAACCTAGCGAACCCACTCAGCTGCTGGGCTTTCCGTTTCCCTTTGGGCGTCCGGGCAGCTCATGGAGCAACTGGACGCGGGCGGACCGCTCCTTTTCCAGGTCCACCTGGTGTCGGAGCTCCAAACCCAAACCGCCAGAAACTCCCATGGACTCGAGCCTGGTATTGGCAGCGATTTGGTGAAGTGGCTCAACGGGGCTCGGAGTCCTGCTATTCTAGGTCCAGATTTGAGAGGTTAGAATGAGGGTACCCAATTTTTTCTGTGGTCTATTTTAGTAGGTGAACCCTCCCAACCAAAAAAGGGGAGAGAAGGGCACTGCCAAAAAAACCTAGTATTCATTTTCTGAACCGCCGCGGCTGTGGTCAAACAAAAGGTAACCCCAACATGGGTTGCCCTGGTAAATGGACACATGGACTCAAGCCTGCGGTCCATCCTAAAAAGGACGGGTTTTCCGGGCGGTGTCCTTTGCAATGGCGGGTGTTTCAATAACATTTTTTGATTGAAACCAAGCCCAACAATGGGTACCAACTCCCAAAAGAAGCACAGAGTTGGCCAGGAAAAGTCGAGAACTTGGTGTTCTCCACTAAAATGGGCCAATCCCAAAAGCGACGAACGTCCGCTCGGGAACTCAGGGAGTGAGTGTTAGATGACATCTGACAGAGCGGGGTTCCAATAGAAAGGCTCCGAAAGCCAGAAAAAGCCGCACGCGTGCGCTTTTGTGTAAGCCGGGCAAGATACCGGAAATGCAGGAAGCTACGGGGAAAGCTGCCATCAAGTTTTCGGTCATCAAGTGGTTTAGCTCGGGGAAATCCCAAACTGCGAATCATGGAACCCACGGGTACAAGAAACAGGAAGACCCTGGCAACTTCCATGGTGTGTGGTCGGTGTACCTGCGACTTCTGGTATCCGCCGCTAATTGTTCGGTGCTATCGATGGACACATGGTTCGGATTTCCAACCCCTACTGCTTTGTTGAGCTCCAGAATTTCTACCTCTAGGTGATCCAGTAGAGAGGTTAGAATAAGGGTATCATTTTTGTCTGTCTATTGTAGGGGAACCCTGCCCCCAAAAAAGGGAAACAGGGCACTACTGGGGGACCTAGCCCTGTTGTTTTGTTGGTGGATGTGCTGTTTTTCTGGGTTGGTCAACAAAAAGAACCAAGCAGGTGTGAACAGTTCACTGCGAGCTATGTATTGTCAGGTACGCGCGGATATGACCAAATGGAAGTCATTGGCAATTGGAGGCAGCCGGCCAAAGGTGGTCCCAAAGCCAGTTTGGAGCTTTGAAGAAGTCAAAAGGACAATTGAGTCACAATCAAGACCCGGTACTCAAATGGTCGACCCAGAACCATGTAAAGCATTAAGAAGGCGGAATTCCGCAGCTATTTATGGTTGGGATTGTCCCTTACTAACCTTGAGTGTGGCTCATTTGTAGTTCATGTTGGTCCTGTTCGGGAAGGTGCATGGGAAAAGGAAGGGAACAAGCCGCGTCTACAGACCAAGTTCTGAGGGCCTGCTACTTGCCGACTTCCCGACGAATCTGATAATGGATAGGGCTGTTGTCCGGCTGAAATGTGAATCAGAAACTTCCATTTGTTTTTTCGCCCCCTCCCCCCCTTCCGGGGAAAACCCCCCGGGAAAACAAAAATATATAATTTCCAGTAATTATAGATTCCCTTTAAAACCAACAGGGAAAATAAAACATGTTCTTAAGCAAATGGAAGGAAAAGGACAACAAACTGTGCCCCAACATCCTCTGAGGTCAGCTTTGGGCAGTTTTTTGAGTGCTGGGGTGTCCGGACAACTCCGAGAAAAAAACAATTCTCACGGTGCAACAGGCGCAGCCATGGCTGCGCGCGCGGAGGGGAAGCCCAAGGGGGACTCTTACCCCCTACTCAAAATACCCGTTCTTTTTTTCAGGGTATTTCCGGAATGCAAAAACCGGGGTTTTCCATGGTAAATACCTCCTTTTTTTAGTAAGGGGGTCGACATGATACCCTGAAAAACAGGGGTATTTGAATTAGGGGGTATGGTTCAGCGCCCAAGGATGCCCTTGGGCAAAGATGGGCAAATGGAGTGGCTGGTGGGCTTCAACCGGAAACCAAAAGGAAAACCAGCCACTTTGGAGGGTCCGAATCCTAAAACAAGACGGAACCATTCTTGTGGCCAACTCGGGCAGCAAGCCAAGGCAAGAGTGGCTCCTGAAAGACTAATCTCGGTTGCTTTCTGCTCCCCTGCCAAAAGTTTAACTTTTAGTGGTTTAATGGACAACCCATTGGTTGGCAAAAAGTTGAAGTCCTAACATCCATGATCCAAGCAAAATGCACCAAAGTAATTGTTGTTTCATTTCTCCCAAGTCCCTGCCATACGTAAAGGTCGCTCCATTCACTCGGAGGTATCCCCAACAGCACCCGCAGAATCCTTCCAGCAGAAGCAAACAAGTGAAAACCTGACCAGAACAATCTGGGTGAATTATAATATTTCACCAGCCTGAAATAAGGTGGTTTGGGGGCTACTCCCCACATAAACCACCATTTGGAGTGAGGTCGTGCGAGGTCGTTGCAAATTCATCCAGCACAATGAAGAACGTGTTGCCAACGTAAGCCATATGCCTACTTTGTCACAAGAAAACAGGGGATTCCAACTTGCGGCGTCACAAAGAGCTACCTCAACATCTACATGTGTCTGTGAGGGAACATCTATGTTGCGGTTCTAGGAATGAAAGCAAAAGGACCACCGATATCCATTCAGGGTGCTCCGATTCCTTAAAAAGACGAGAGCCACCCACATGGGTTTGTCTCAAAATAAGGCTACCCCCAAAATGCCAACTTTGGCGTCCTTTGGGTTTCCCTTTAAAAAAACAAAAATCACCCCCCCAGAAGAAATCCCAAAATGCCCACGGTGTCCTTTAGGTGTCCCTTTAAAAATCAGCCCCCAAAAGGGATCCCCTATGTTTCTACGGGTACCTTCCCCATTCTTTCCAGGGATCCTTTTTTTTCAGGAAACCATCAAAATCCCAGGGGAAACCGCCGGTGTTTGAAAAGAACGATGGTTGAAAAGAATGGAATCAAACCCTAGAGTTGTGGCGTTGCTCTTGGGTTCCCTTTAAAGCCACACCAAAAAGGCCCATCCTCACTTGCCGAGTGGATGGCCAAAACAAAGTCCACACTTTTTATTCACCACTAAAAAAGTATTCCCAAAAAGCTTAAAGTTCATGAACTCAGGAAGTGAGCATCTCAGCCCCGAGGGATTTTTGAGACCCACCATGCCCACCTTGGGTGGCGATCAACAAAAAAGCGCGATCGCGCTCGGCGAGATGCCTGTAGCTTCTGGTTCGACGAGCGCAGGCCGCCGGCCATGTCCTGCGGACAAGTCTGACTTCGGTTTGGGACGTGGAGGGTGACAACTGGGGCCGTCTTCAGATCCCCTGCCCTGCCCTGGGAAGTATATTTTTGAACTCACCTGCCCCAACCAAACGCCAAAAGCCCAAGTTCCTTGCCTGAAAGGAAAAGAAACAGTGGCCAAAAGGATCCAGAAACAAAAGGTTAACTTTTTGGGGTGACTCAAAATGGACCAACATGGGAAGACGAAAAGGTCAAAAGGTCGGCTAGTAGATCTAGGTCCTCCAGTAGAGACGCTAGCATAAGGCTAACAACTCTTTGCTGTAGTCTATTTTAGTAGGGGAACCCTCCCAACCAAAAAAGTTGGTGAGAAAGTTTGCACCTAGCTGGACCTAGACTAAGAACAACAAAAAACCTAACAAACTGGAGCCTTCGCTGGGAGCCAAGTGCACAAGTTCCCTTTCCAAGCTGGACCCTCAAAAAAATCGAACCCCAAACATGGGAACTATCGCCATAGGTGTCCTTTCTGGAAAATAGATGGCCCTGGTTCATGATTGAACCACCGGCTAAACCAGGGCCCTCTATTTTTCAATCAGACCAACCAAAAAGGACACCTATGGTTATCGCAACCCCAAACCATGGTTGGCAAATTGCGCCCTTGTTTACTTTGGTTGGCTCTTCCGGGTCCGGGTAAAGGGGATTAACCCCGAATTCGGACAACTCTGCCAGCTTACTTTCGCCCAACTGCAAAATTGGAACCCAGAAGGTTCACCCTTGGATCTGGCTGGCAACATGGGTGTGTCTTTCTTGGGATGGTACCCCTTTTTGGGGTGTTTCTTTTTAATGGGAAACCAATTGAACAGCGCTGACAGTTTTCACGGTCCCCTGGTTTGACTAGGTCCTCCAGTAAAAAGGTTAGCATAAGGCTAACAACTCTTTGCTGTAGTCTATTTTAGTAGGGGAACCCTCCCCCCAAAAAGGGTAAAAGTGCACCACTGGGGACCCAGAGATGGTGAAACTTGCTGGGAAGTAGATGTGAGCTCACTTGCCCAAAGGACCCCAAAAAGGTTAAACTTGTGGGGCGACTAAACATGGACCTTTTCATGGGGAAACTCGCAGGTGAAAAGGTCGATTCACTTTGAACTGAGTGAAAACTGGGCCGTCTGAAAAGATCCCCTGCGAAGAGTTGAACCTAGCGAGTTCATGGCAACCCAACCACTAAACCCTACGAAGCACGGGGAAACCAAAAGGAAGCGCACGATTTGGGGTATCCCTGTAACACACTTTTTGGATGGACGAAGTCGATTTCCGAGCACCTACTGTGGATGGTTGCGAAATCCATTTCGCACCACCTAAGAAACCCTGGCTTCTGATGATTCCCATACAAATACCAAGAAACCATGGTTAGCCATGGTTTCCCCTGGTTTCTCAGGTGGTGCGAACGGACTTCGTCCATCCACAGTATGAAACCATGGTTCAAACCATTGCGGCCGTCAATTGCCCAAAAGGGCTTGCAACACGCCCTACGTGCGGACGGAGCTTCCAGAAGTCCAACCAACGGTCCAAGTGATGCACAAACACCCCCTACTCAAAATGCCCGTTTGTGTTTAAGGTATTATCGGGAAAAAACAAACAACTGGTTGTCCATGGTACATACCTCCGTTTTTAGTAGAGGTCGACGTGATACCCGGAAAACAGGCCGGGTATTTGAAGTAGTATGCAGCTTCATAATTTGATATCCCGTGTTCGGGTTTCAGAAAGGTTTCTCCTGGGCTACGGGCCCTTGTTTCAGTGAAAAGCAAGCGAGCGGCATCAAACTCACCGAGAATCAGGCTGCGAGATGCACAAATCGATTGGTCAAGAGACCTATCTGGCAACCAACAAATCCTGTCAAAGATCCCATTGACGCACTCATACTGTGGATGGATGAAATCCTGCACCACTTTGAAACCAGGAAAAACCATTGTTTCTTGGTATTTGTATGGGAATCATCAGAAACCAGTGTTTCTTAGGTGGTGCGAAATGGATTTCGCAACCATCCACAGTAGGTTTGTCATATCAAATGGTTGACCTTTTCGTGCCTCGTTTTTAAAAGCACAACGCCGGGCTCACAAACGAAATGGCCGAAGAGGCAGCAAAGAGGCCTGCTTGCGCAAATAAGTGTGAACCGTTGTCAAAAACACGTGTTTTGTTTTGTTTTGCGAATGTGCAATTTCTTACAAACGTCTCCAAGCCTGAGTGGTACTTCTGTGCGTGATAAATCGGAGATGCCACCAGCAGGCTACGATGGACATGCTAGGACCTGGCCTCAGGCGCCAGTTCAGCCAGGAGCGTTCAACAGAACCCCAAGTAGCAAGAGCAGCAAGCAAGGCGCGCGTAAACCAACTAGCAAGAGCACGCCAAAAGGGGTACCAGAGTAAAGAAACGCAAGCAAAAAAGCAAGAGCACCAAATAAGTAAAAAGGGCATCCAAGTAAAAACAAACAAGAGAGTAGACAGTACGCAAGTAAAGAAACAAAGGAACAAATCCGAGGTGGTTTCAGCCAGTGGCCGGAGCTTCCTGCTGGTTGGACAGCTCCGTCTTGGAGGACTGTGCTGTGCCGTCCGAGGCGCTGAGCCTTCGGATCCGCGTTTCCAGCGGCGAGAAGTTCGAAACGTGGGCCCCCACCCCTGTTGGCATTCAAAGGATTTCCAACCAGGGGTGAGGGTTTCCAACCAAAACTGGGGTGGGGGGCCCCACCAAATCGCAAAGGAATTCCAACAGGAATCACCAACAAAACACAAGCCGCTTTTGGTATTTCTCAAGGTTAGTTTAGGATGCCTGGAACTTTCACTTTGATGTCTTGAAACCATCCCAAAAAGGACTTCCACTTTGCGACCATGCCCATATGGGTGTGTTGTTTTTGAGGGACCCCCAAAAAAACGAACGAACGAACGACTGACCGACCGACCGACCGACCAACCAACCAACCAACAACAGCAATAACAACAACCAAATATGGGCCTTCCCTTTGCAAAAACCGAACGAGCCACCTGCATCTACGACACCTCCATGCGGCCCCTCCGTCCCGCGCATTTCGCATGAGCGCCTCTCGTGCAGCGAGTCGCTGCGCGCGCGCTCGGAGACCAGAGCCTAAGAAATTGAAGCGTGTGGCTCCATGCCAATTTCCCTCGATGCAAACCGAGTGCCCAGTGCATTTCCATGAGAAAAAAGGCATCCCTTTTTGGTTGGTTGAGTTTAAAGGGGAACCCTTTCCAAAAAAGAGAAACAAGGGCGCCGCTGGGCAAGTGGGCTTCATGTTGGGGCTGTGCGTGCTGTGCGTGAAGTACGAAACATGGGAAGCAGCAAGCGTTTTTCTCACGAGTGGGTCATTAACGCAACCTGACCAAGTAGGGCACGACATATGCCAACTAGCCAAGGCATAGCATATGCCAAAACCCAGCATCGACTACCCAACAACCCTCGCGCGCCGTAGGGTGTGGCGCGGACCCAACTGACGCAAGCGCCGCCGCTGCACTTCCTCCACGTAAATGGCACAGGCTGCCAAGAACAACATTGCAACTGCCACTGCTTCTGCTGCCTGCTTGCCCCGCGCGAGCCAAAGCAGGTCGTCTACGTACGTCAGGATGAAGACGGCTTTCCGCAAGAAATGGAACACTGAACGCTGCAATTCACCCATCAAGCGAGACCAGTGGGCAGCGATGCTGGCGCCGCCAAACAGAGTTCAAAGAAACGCTGCCAGCGGCCAAAAACGTTTGGCATGCCTGGAAACCCCAATAGCCGTTGCGCCCCGCCGGAGCCGTGCGTGCCATCGTGGATGACACGAAAGGACTCGTCACCCTTGCGACTTCCCTTTAGTCACCTCCAGGGAAGGAATCCGCAGGTTGTGCGCCATACCGCAACTGCGCTTGAGCCAGGGTCAGCTTGACCATAGCACCAAGCTGGGCCTCCTGCTCAAACTGCCTGTCGGCATTTGCTTCGGCGGTCGGGTAGTTCTTTCTGACACAGTCGCTTGGCGCTTGCTCATGCTCGTAGTCGCGCCACTTGCGCTTGCGCTCGAAGACTGCCGGCACCCGCGGGACCAACCCCCAGTGACACGCTGCCACGCCAAGCTGCAGGTCCTGATGCTCGTCCCGCCTGCAGTCTGGGCGCCGGCCTGGAGAGCACAGCCCTTGCGCCATCGGTGAAGGGCCTCCTTGTTCTCATGACAAGACCAACTTCCACACTGGCTGGCGCGCCACCCCCTGCACCATCAAAGGGCAGCCAGCGATGTGCTTCCCAAGGAAGTGATCCGAGAACCAACCTGTCCGCCGAAAGCCACAAAACCAGTTCTTGTGTCTGCTGCGGCCCACACTGCCAGTAACAAGGCCACTGACTGGCGGGACGCAGTGTCAGCGTCGTGCTGGTTGCAGATCTCTGCTGCCATGCAGGGCCTTGCGAAACTCGATCCGAGACTCGCCCAGACCCGCAAACAAGCGCAATGTGACGACGCCCTCGTGAAACAGCGCCACGCCAACTTCAGAAAGATGAAGTTTCAAGTCGGACGAAGCCGCTTTTGCCGCGCCAGCGGCCTGGTCGCTTGTCAGCTCAATCAGAGGCATGGCACGCAAAGGGTAAGCGCCACAAACAAGAAACCAAGCAAGCAGAACAAAACAGCAAAGACACTAAACAGCTTGTGAGCTAGCAGCTGACAGCGTGTCAGCGCCAAGGACCATGCCAACAATACCTGTCGGCAAACTCATCAGCTCACCACGAGCTGACATAGGGCGTTCGCAAGTCAACATGAGTTGCGCCCGCCGGCAGCATGCCAGCACGGCGCCAACAATACATGTTGGCGTCCCGCCCGCTCAACATCAGCGGACGACCTGGAGGGGAACAAGCCGCCCCCTCGCGGACTTGGCTGCGCCGCAATCAATCATGAGTCACCTGCCCCGGCCCCGCTGCACTAGGCATCAGTGCTCTCAGAGGAGCTGGAACTTGCCTCGTCAAGTCCGGACTTCCAACAATGCTTGCAAGCTGCGTCATGGCTATTGCGACCCGGCTTGGAACCGCAACCGCACGCGAACCTAAGGCAAAGCCCCGAACATGCCACAAATCATCCAACTGCAAAGCAAAGAAGCAAACGTAAGAGCGCCACGCGCAAGCCAGAGTCCCTTTTCGATGGACCTTGGTCCACTACACCAGTTTTCGACCAGGCCAAAGCTTAGGGGGTCTCCTGGAACTTTTTTGGCGGGGAGCCGAAGACCCCGGATCAAAGAGGTTGATGCATTTCTCCCCAAAAAATCGAAATACAGGAAACCAGCTTTGTAAACAAGCTCCCTGGTCCTCAACACCCACCCTGTTGCAGAAAGAAACGCCTCCTGCTGAAAGAAAACATGTGGACGCAACGTCCAAACCAAGCATCCTTTACACACGCAAAACAGCCAGCTAAACACACCGAGGGACAAATGCTTCCGAGAGAGCCACCCCCTACTCCAAATACCCTCAATTTTCAGGGTATCATGTCGACCCTCTACTAAAAAAAGGAGGTATTCACCATGGAAAACGAAGTTTTCCCAAACATATTCTGAAAAACAGCGGTTTATAAGCGGGTATTTTGAGTAGGGGGCATGGTTGTGACCTAGTTACCTGAACATGTACAGATCACACCACGGGGGGCGTCTCTTTCATGCCAAGCCAAAGTGACGGCAAGCTTCGGAGGCACTGTTTTGAGGATTGGGAAGGATTTGTTTGACCCTCTGTCTCAAACCATCTCAAACCCTTTTTGAGCCTTGCGTGAGACAATGACAGTTCCCCGCTTGATATAAGGAAGCCTCTTAGCTTTTCCAGTGGCTCAGTCGCTCAACCACCCACCCCAATGTTGAGGAGGGCCCCTTCCGCAACCGCACTTGAAGAGATCGCTCATCTCAACTTACATGATCAACCATACTTGGACAGTTTCCTCAAGCAAAATCGGACTAGCAGAAAAACCCGCAACAAATCTGTATCCGTCGGTTCCCGGCCTGCTCCAGATTCGCCTTCTCGAGCTCAGCCGCCTGACTTTCGTCCCATGGAACGGGGTCATGTGACGGTTGCCTTGGGAAGCTTTACATGGGTGGCTCATCTTTTCTTGAGGGTATCTCTTGTTGGTGTTTAAAGGGAAACCAAAAGGAACACCAAACTTTCTGTTGGGGCCCCTAAAAACAGACACACCCAGATTGGTTATCTGCAGAACCTGAGATTGATGACGATCTCAGCCTAAGTGTTGACCATGACACGTTTGCTGTGGCCAACATCTACTGAGATGTTTCTGTGTTGACTGCCAGGATGTCCATGTCCGGAAGATTAAAGGACCGGATAACCCCACATGCTATGTTTTTCCCAAGGATGTGAGTTCAAATGTCCAACACACATGTACCGTGCGCAAGTGGTTGTGCTGCAAGCTTGTGGCAGGGCTCATGAACATCGCGGAGACAACTAGCATGCGTTCTGTCACCTCATCCCGCAAACAACTGCGCGAACCTTTTTTTGCCTTTCTTGCTGCGCTGACCTTGGCTCGGGCGCAGCTCATGCCACACTGACTGTCAGTCCCGGCAGCAATGCTTCGTGCGGACGCGTCGCGTCTGTTTTTCGCCAGCTGCGTAATGACGACACTGAACAAGCTCGGTAAACTTCTCAATCCGAGTTGCGTGGCTCAAACTGAAGAATCTCGATGCGTGGCTCGACATGCTATTTGCAGCAGCTAACGGCCAACATATTGCTTCAAGGTTAGCTACTGGTTTTGCCAAGCAGAGCCACGCTTCAAAGGATTCGGACAACATTTCGCTGTGATAGCTGCGTCATGCTTCTCATTCCGAGTCGCGCGGCGCCCAAAAATGCAATCACAGCAGCTAGTGTCAAACATTGTTTCATGCCTGCTCTAGCACTGGTCTTGCCAAGCAGAGCTCGTCTTAAAAGGGGTTGGCATGCTGTCTCGCAGCGTGCGCACTCGCTTACCGGGAGTCCACTCACTGGCATAGCTCAGAGCAGCAGCCGCCGTCTGCTTGGAGATGATGTGAGAGTAGTACGCGTTGACAGCCAGCACCGCCTTCTCGTGAACCTCCACGTGCCAGAGGACAGACCACTCATTCTCCGCGTCGGCTTGCATGATGACCACTTGGTGGACTTCACCTGGCCGTGCTCGGAGGATCCAATTCACTGCAGACGCAGGGCCTGCTGCTCGGATTTTGCTCCGGAAAGGCAAGAGGGTTTCAGCGTCGGGCACTGACAAGCAGCAGTCCACCGAGCGCTTGACTCGCATGGCCGATGCAGATTGCGGGTCTTGCTGCAGAGACTCATCATCTGGCAGCTGGACTTCGTTGAACATGACGAGCGCTCGCACAGACGGAGCGTCGATCTCTTGAATCGTCAAAGAGCCCAAGTCTGTGTCCACGCGTAAGTCGCGCAAAGCAGCAACCGGGCAGCCGCCGCCCAGAGAGCAGCGTGGAAGCTCCAGCATGTGGGGCGTCAGGTCCGGGCAGTCCTGGTTGAAGGGCAGGAAAGGCGTCAGATGGCGACACTCCAACTCCAGTATCTGCTGGTAGTCGTTCTCCCGAAAGGTGACTTTGCAAGTCCACAGTGCGCTCCGGAATGCGTTTCGCACTTCGGACCGCAGCTCTGCAGTGTCTTTGCAAGGATTCGGCAGCGAGTAACCCTGCTCCTGCAAGGCCAACTCGACGTGGTCGTGGTAGAGCACCATGCTGCACTGGCAGTCGCTATCCGCGAACACAGCGCGCAGGGCCACGCGCTTCTCTTCAGCAGCATCTGGATGTGCCTGCACAAAAGCTTGACAGATTTAATTTTTCATGCTGAATGACATTAATCAGAACATCCTGATTGACATTTCTGCGTGCCTGGCAAGGGAAAGCTCTCTTGCACGTGCTGCAGCTGGACAAGATCCACTCGTCCGTTTCGGACTTGACCGAGCTCAAGCCCATGATCTGCAGTCCGGAGACGAGGAACACAGTGTCCACCTTCCGCAACTGCCCGGGGACAATCGTGCCCACGAGCGCGCTCAATGTGCTCTGCACTGCCTCGCATTCCTTCCAATTCCTGGTCGGAATGAGAGTGAGCATGCGGCAGTCGCCAGGCTCCATGATGCGCTCTCCAATGTTCTTGGCAAGCTCTTCAGGGCACTCCAGAATTTGAGTGCCTCGCCAGCTGCCAATCTCCCATGATCCTTCCTTTTTCTTCTCCACCAACACTTGGTAGAGCAGGATGCAGGTTCCAGCCTGGCAGGTCGCGAGCTTTTCAGCGTGCTCCCTCCAGAAAGCGCACCGCACTCGAACGCCATTCTGCTGCACGATGGCATTGCAGACCAGAACGCGGCCTTGGACGGTGTCCCTCTCGATCGCGCCCGGGTTGTCGTCCACTTGCGCGGCCACACAGATCTGCTGTCGGTCTTTCACGCGAGCCAGCGACTGCAGTGGCACCAAAGGATGATGAGCAGGGACGCCGCTCCAGGGCAAGCTCTCCAACTTTTGGACCAACACCTGCGTACCCACAATGCCTTTGACGCGAAGGTGGTAAGGTAGCCTAGAAGTGGAGTACATCTGCGCAGTGGAGATCACGGTCGCGCCCGTGAGGGCGATCAAGTCTCCCACCTTGCAGCGCAGGCCGAGTTGAGTAGCTTGCTCTCCCCAAGCCTCCACATACACCACCTCATTCACTGAGTCTGCGCCTGCGATGTGCATTTCCAACTTCGTGGAAGATGGCGGCTGCGAGCTTGCTTTCGAGGACTTCTTGCCTTTCCCCTTGGAAGGCGTGGCCGCCGCGGCGGAAGCAGCTTTGCTCTTCACTTCCTGCTCCACCATAATGACGACCCGGCCAGCGACTGCCGTGCCTTTGAGCCCACCATACTCCGAAGGCTTCAGCGACAGCACGGTCTGCAACATGGAGTCGACCATCTTGCTGTCGTGCCCAGCAGACGAAGCGGTGGGATCCACTCCCACAACGTCCTTCTCCGAGTTGGCCGCATCTCTCAATGCTTGCCCCGCCGCCGCAAGGGCAGACAAACCTTCTTGGGCAACGTCCTGCAAGTGCGCCAAGTCGAGCTCAGCCTCTCTCACCAATGCTCGACATGGCCCTCGCACTCGTGAGCTAGCTTTGCACACGCACGCTCGCCATGCGCCTTTGTGGCGTTCGATCGGCATCTTTAGCCAAGCGAACACGTCTCACACAACGATTCTGCCATGCGATCGAACTGCTCAACATAATTCTGCAAACTTCTGACAACACTTCTGCAATCTTCTGCCAACTTCTGACAAAACTTCTGCAAAATATAAGTTCGTGACCCTGGACACAAAGCTTCTGCGAGCCCAATCTCAACATCCAACAGCTTGCCTCACAATGCACCCTGCCTCATGTACTCACAGCTCTGCACTTACACAAGCCTTGTAGACGACCCTTTAGACATCCGAGAAGTGTGAGTGAGTGTGAGTATGAATGCGAGCGAATGAGTGACAAAATGCTGCCCCTGCCACACAAACACACACCCAGATGCACAGAATGCTGCGCCTGCCACGACTTCGGCAATGGCATCTCCACACCCAGATGCACAGAATGCAGCGCCTGCCACGACTTCGGCAACGGCATCGCCAAAGTGCTGCGCCTGCCACGATTTCGCACGCCCCCCGCCGCGCGCGCGACAACATCCTGTCCCTCTAGACAGCTGCCGAATGCGACCCCTGCCACACAAACACACACCCAGATGCACAGAATGCTGCGCCTGCCACGACTTCGGCAACGGCATCGCCAAAGTGCTGCGCCTGCCACGATTTCGCACGCCCCCCCCGCCGCGCTCGCGCCAACATCCTGTCCCCTGGCACACAAACACACACCCAGATGCACAGAATGCTGCGCCTGCCACGACTTCGGCAACGGCATCGCCAAAGTGCTGCGCCTGCCACGATTTCGCAACGGCATCGCCAAAGTGCTGCGACAACATCCTGTCCCTCTAGACAGCTGCCGAATGCGACCCCTGCCACACAAACACACACCCAGATGCACAGAATGCTGCGCCTGCCACGACTTCGGCAACGGCATCGCCAAAGTGCTGCGCCTGCCACGATTTCGCAACGGCATCGCCAAAGTGCTGCGCCTGCCACGATTTCGCACGCCCCCCGCCGCGCGCGCGACAACATCCTGTCCCTCTAGACAGCTGCCGAATGCGACCCCTGCCACACAAACACACACCCAGATGCACAGAATGCTGCGCCTGCCACGACTTCGGCAACGGCATCGCCAAAGTGCTGCGCCTGCCACGATTTCGCAACGGCATCGCCAAAGTGCTGCGCCTGCCACGATTTCGCACGCCCCCCGCCGCGCGCGCGACAACATCCTGTCCCTCTAGACAGCTGCCGAATGCGACCCCTGCCACACAAACACACACCCAGATGCACAGAATGCTGCGCCTGCCACGACTTCGGCAACGGCATCGCCAAAGTGCTGCGCCTGCCACGATTTCGCACGCCCCCCGCCGCGCGCGCGACAACATCCTGTCCCTCTAGACAGCTGCCGAATGCGACCCCTGCCACACAAACACACACCCAGATGCACAGAATGCTGCGCCTGCCACGACTTCGGCAACGGCATCGCCAAAGTGCTGCGCCTGCCACGATTTCGCAACGGCATCGCCAAAGTGCTGCGCCTGCCACGATTTCGCACGCCCCCCGCCGCGCGCGCGACAACATCCTGTCCCTCTAGACAGCTGCCGAATGCGACCCCTGCCACACAAACACACACCCAGATGCACAGAATGCTGCGCCTGCCACGACTTCGGCAACGGCATCGCCAAAGTGCTGCGCCTGCCACGATTTCGCAACGGCATCGCCAAAGTGCTGCGCCTGCCACGATTTCGCACGCCCCCCGCCGCGCGCGCGACAACATCCTGTCCCTCTAGACAGCTGCCGAATGCGACCCCTGCCACACAAACACACACCCAGATGCACAGAATGCTGCGCCTGCCACGACTTCGGCAACGGCATCGCCAAAGTGCTGCGCCTGCCACGATTTCGCAACGGCATCGCCAAAGTGCTGCGCCTGCCACGATTTCGCACGCCCCCCGCCGCGCGCGCGACAACATCCTGTCCCTCTAGTGAGTGTGAGTGAGTGAGTGTGAGTGAGTGAGTGAGTGAGTGAGTGAGTGAGTGTGAGTGTGAGAGTGAGTGAATGAGAGAGTGTGAGTGAGAGTGAGTGAGCGTGAGTGAGTGAGTGTGAGTGAGCGTGAGTGAGTGAGTGTGAGTGAGTGTGAGTTGAGTGAGTGAGTGTGAGTTGAGTGAGTGTGAGTTGAGTGAGTGAGAGTGAGTGAGTGAGTGAGACGGAGACGAGCGGGAGGAGGAGGAGGAGGAGACGCGGCGCGCGGACGACGAGCGGAAAAAGTAAGAACCCCACACAAAGATGTGGGGAATAAGAACAGCATTCACATCATGCTCCCCTGAAAATCAATGGAACCCAAAAAGGGAGCTCCACGTTTGCCGCTTGATTTGAATTGGTTGCTGGGCACCTGAAAGTGCAAAAGGAAGTCCTGCAGGGCTCTGCACAAATACCCAGTGCTCGCAACCACCCTACCTACACCCCCAGAACGGATTCCCTGAAACAACCGCCACACAAAGTGGGTCCTTTGGGGGTACTCTTGGTTGGTTGGTTCAAAGGGAAACCAGACTGTTGCGCCATTTTGGGGGACCCGGTCCGACTCCAAAAACAACTTTCGGGGCCGATTCGGCGCCAAAAGATCGGGCTGAAGCTTGCTGGTGCTCAGCGAAACGTTTTGGGATTCCCTTGAAGGAACCACATCCGGGATGGTTTCTCTCCATTCCAACTCATTCCCTAAAACAGACCAGCAAGAAACCCCCATTCCCTCCAAACTGGCGTATTGCCCGCCCCCAAATTCCATAGTTTCCCCCTTTTTGTTCAGGGTGCTTTTTGGTTTCCCCCCTGCCCCCTCGAGGATGGGTTTTTCTCAAACGGACCACTCGAACCTGAGCTTTCCTCAGATCCCCGTTTTTCAAAGTTCAACTTTTGGTGGGTTGAATGGACACCCCCACTGCACACTAAAAAAAACGAGAAATTAAGCTTAGGTTTTCTTGGGGTGGCTAAGAAACACTGAAAAGCTGAGAGCCACCCAAAAAAAATCGGCGAGTCGATCGTCGGACCGCCTTGAGCTTGGACCTCAGCTCGGCGGCTTCGTCCAGCACCTGCGCCGCGCGATCGCAGCTTCCGCCGGATTTCCCCCCCGGCCGGCCCCTGGTGGTTTTTTTCCCGGCATAACCGGGGGCTCCATGGAAAAACGCGGTTGGGGTAAACAAATCGATGGGCTGGGCTGGGGTAAATGGAAAAACAACAATCACGAAAAAGTCGGTTGGGGTCCAAAGATGGACGGGCTTGGCTGGGGTACATGGAGCAAACACCACTCAAAGCCAGAGATTTTGAAGCCAGGAAAGCAAGCCGGGGCTCGACCCCTCAAAGACCTGGCAGGCTTTGCTCCAGTCGAACTAAGCCAAGTCTTTCTGACTCTGGCTCCATGGCGCCGAAAGGCAAGTTGGTCCAGTTACCACACAAATACGCGCTCCCAAGGTGGGAAACTCAAAAGGGGGAGCCATGTGCCGGGAACTGGTTCAATTAGAAACTGGGTCTGGCGAAACTTGATGAGTTCGTCTACATAGACAGTTTTCGCCTTAAGTATTGTTCTGGGTGGGGGGGCCGAATCGTCCATGCTAAAAAACTCAGATCCTAGGTGGGCGCACAAGAGTAGACCTGTCGGAAACGGACCCTTTGGACATAATGATCCCTTCAACACGGGGGGAAGCTTGCCCAAGGCGCCAAAGAGTGATCTTCAAAACACAAAAAGGCGCATAGGTTGGACCCCCGCTTTTTTCCCCCTGGATCTATGGCGGCTCAAGAAAATCCAAGTGGACCACCAATCAGAAGCCAAAGGCTGCGAGCCGGGAGACATCGACGCGCCTTGTTCAAGCGCCAGCTTTGCCGCAGCAAGTCCAGCTTCCCCATCAGTGTGGGTGCCGGCAGTGTCCAGACCTGAACAAGGACCTACATGGTTTTCGTTCGTTTTACTTAGCCCTAAAACAATGTGTTTGAAATTATGTTTGGCTCACAACTGGGTGAACAGTTTCCACCGTCTGGTGGAAAGTCCAGCCAAAGCAGATCTCTGGCCAACAGATTTCCTCAGGGCAGCCCCAGGAAACCCTTTAAGTCGTTTGGCTTAGAACTTTTCCGCACACCGAGCAGCAGGAAAACAAAAAAACTTGGAAGCGCACCGTCCAAAAGGCAGTGGTTGGGACCCGCGTCAAAGTATCACCAACTCATCCTACATCATCCATCCCGTGCTTGGCGGGTCTCCCCGGCTGCTGACATCTTGGGCGGCAAAATCTGGAGTGTGGAGCTGTAACTGTTAGGTGGGTGTCGTTTGGGTTCAATTTGTGGGGCCTTCATCAGGTCCAGTCCGCTAACGGTTTTGGGAATTGATATTCACAATATAACGGGGAAACCGTTGAAAGAGCTGATGTGACAGAACCAGGTCTATGAACCCAAGCGCCTTACAGCAAATTACAACTGCCGGTCTGGGCCCGATTCCAAACCCCGACACAGGTTGCGTTGCGTTCTGCAAGCCCGGCTTCCGCGCAGTTTTGTGAAAAGTATACAATGGTAGCGCAGCTCGAAAAATCCAGGAGTTCAGTGCACGTGCAGTAGAGGAATTCCATATTGTTGGACCCGAAAATTCTGGTAGTTCCAGCAAACTGGGGGGGGGGGGCAACTGCTATCATTTGGATATCATTCTGTCGCACGCCGAACAACATTGCTTAGCCCATTGCTGCGCGGCTGAGGTAGTTTCCACTTCGCTGACCGGGTGATTTTGGGTCGTTGTTCTTCTCACATGCAAAGCTGTTTCCAGGACATGTCTTCTTCCCGCTTGTTGTTTACCATTTGCTTCTGCCGAAGTTCGGCGCCGCTCCCTGGGACCTGCCCAGCCGAAACGGGCCTCTGGTGGCTTGAGCTCGGCTTGCAAAAGACTCCCCCTTTTGGCCATTACACAAACGTCTTTGGCAACCTTTCGCAAACCACCCCTGGCTAATTAAACCTCTGGTGGCTTGAGGTCCCCCAAACCTCTGGTGTTACTTTGGCTTGGCCCAAGCGGAATCTTGGCCCGCGGGCCACGAAGCTCAAGGTTGCCAACACCTGCAAAGCGGGTAGAAGCACAGCTGGTATTGGGCACGGCGCAAGAAGGGAAACTTGGCATACAACTGGACGGATGACGACGCGCTGCCGGTCTTCGTGTCTGCGGGCGAAGCGGGCGGAACTTGCCCGCGTCCGGGACGGCTGGTTGCTGGAACTTTGAACGTATGGCCATAGGTCAAAACCCCGTACCAGTGAACATCCCAATCTCTAAATGGATTAAAATGGGTGGTACACCTACCCCAAAATGGTACCATTGGTTTTGACCCACAGCCTTATCGCTTAGCTCCCGTTGCTCCGCGAAACCGCCGCCCACGCAAGACAGCTGAACATGACCACCTACTTGCCAGGCTGAGTCGCTGGCTCTGCCTGCTTTCGAGCCGCGCGCGACTTGCTAGGGGAAGAAAGCGCCTCCGAGCGCGGATTGGACATCGCCGCTTCAAACGCTGGCCTTCCAGCCGAGTGCCCCACAGGCGGGAAACTCGCCAGAAAGCTACGCGAAAGCTCTTCTAGATCCGGTCCCCCTTTTTCTGTTGTCTATGTTAGGAGGGAACCTTCCCAGCCAAAAAGTTGGTAAAAGGGCGCGTAGCTGGGGGACCTAGTCTTGGACAAGGCCCTACGCCCGAAAACCCAAGGCGCGCAGCACCCGCTTTAACCAGCACCCCGGCCAGTCTTGAATATCAGAAGTCATTTGTTGCGGCTACAGATCCGGCCACCGTCTCTTGCATCATGTATTGAGAGCGGGCTGTTTGATAAACATGTCAAACTGCAGTAACTGCAGATTGGCAACAATCTGCAGGGTTTCGTTGCAGGAAAATCAACACCGTAAATGTAAGCTTCTCTCCTGTAGAATCTCCTGTAACCCAAGATTTTGATGATAGAAGCCCTCATGTCAAGCCCTCACACAATTCGATTCGTAGGAAAGCACAGGACAAAAAATCGAAAAAAATGCCGCCCAAGCCACTTGCTATGTGTTCCAGACTCAGAACAAACAGCACAGCGCTGCAAAGTTGTAACACCACCCAGGGTTCTCTAAGAAGCCTTCATTGCGGTCGTACAGTCGTGAACCCAACGCCGTGAGGCCACTGTTTGCTCAAACAAGTAGCGCTCCGCAGCATTCGAACACCTGCGGCATAGCCACTTTTGTTGGAACACGCGGCTCTCTTGGGTGCAATTCTTTGTTTGGCCGGAGGTACCTGTTTCAAAATGTGCACTGATCTATCGTGCTGAGTCGTGTCAGGACAACTAGGCAACTGGCCTCATACCGTTTCGCCCCAAACAGTATTTGACACACCAAACTCACAGAAGACGAAAAACCCAACTCGCATCGGGACCCTGAACTGCATCACCATCTTTGGCAAAAACGCCTCCGACTTGGCAAGTGTCTGGACTCTTCCTCACATCCGCGACCTGAAGGTTTCTCCGTTTCCATTTCATAGGCGCACGGAGACTTCGCCTGTTGGCCTTGAAGAGGAAGCAGAGTTGAGCTGGCCACGAAAGAATACCCCCTACTCCAAATACCCGGCCGTTTTTCTGGGTATCATGTCGACCCTCTACTAAAAAAGGAGGTATTTACCCTGGTATCCCAGGCTTTCCCAAAAATACACTGAAAAACGAGGGTATCTGAAGCAGGGGGTAGAATCAACCAACAGGTTTCACGCCAAACGCGTCACGGGCAAAAAACGGTATCAAATCAGATATTTGTTGTTCTCATTCCTACAGCATCGGTCCAATGCCCATGCACAGCCACAAGCCACACAACGTAGAAGATGTGTGCGCTGGAAATGCTAGTCTCCCACTAGCGATAGCCAGCACCATAGGGCTGCCCACACCCGTGTTTTCAGCCAACTTGTCTCCCCCCTTAAATGATCAGTTCTTGAAAATGTGGCCCTTTTTGTTTGGTTCATGCTGCACAAATAAATTTTCCTGGGGCCCGAAGTTGTCCGCTTCACAAGCAAATGGGCCAAACAAAGTCGACAAACATGCTGGCACTTGCCCTCAAAATGGCCCAAAACCCAAAACACTGACGAAAGTGGAGGACTGACGATTCCGCTGTAAAGGCCAAACACTGGTTTTCCCCATGGTTTCTTTCCCTCGGTTGCTTTCTGCTCCCCTGCTAAAAGTTCAACTTTTAGTGGTTTGATGGAAAACCAATTAGTTGAAGGAGAACAAAAAAGAGGTTAAAGTCCTAACATCCCTTGGCAAAATGCACCAAAGTCTCGTGGTGTGACACGGATTTCGCAACCGTCAGATGAGGCCGCCAGCCCTGGGGTCTCCACCATGGCCAGTGCCAAAGGACTCCGCGCACTCGGCCTCGGATGTAAAGCGCGGTGTCTTACCATATTAAATAAGTAAAGAACACAACTAACTAAATACATAAATAAGTAAATATTATATATATGTATACACACATACTATGTATATATATATATGTATTTACATATGATATGGCAAGACATGTATTTTAATATGATTCCCAGATCTTACCAGCTACCCTTATTTACATGCACCACAGCGCAACTGCCCCGATGGCAGGAAACTGAGGTTTTTGGACCCGGGTCCTTCGCCAGACCGTCCCCATTTCGAACAGGTAACGTGCCGGGGTTTGGGCTATGGGCTATGGGGAATTCTGACGGTTTTTGGTACGGGTTAAACGGAAAACCAGGTTGGGTGGAAAACCGTGTTTCTGGTAAGCAGGTTCAAAACCAAGTTCTTTGTTTGCATCCTTTATTGTTAAAGGTTGTTGGAGTAGAGGGCAGTTCAAGTTCATACCTGGACCCTCAACCTATCCATAAAGGAGGGGCTGCAATTTGTTAGCGGCCGGCCGGCCACGGCTGGCTGAGGGTCTAGGTAGCCAACTACACGTGGGGGCATGATCTTTCCCACCCAAACATTGCAGAGACCCAAAGACACCAGAAGGGTCAGCGCACCAGGGCATTCCTGAAAGGAAACATTCAAACAGGGATCCTAACATTGCCTTGCAAATGGTGGTTTCCCTTTATTTCGGTGTTGAAAAAGCAACATGTTTCAAATGGGCAACATGTATCTTTTAAGGAGCCCTGTCAAACAGAATTTGCATGGTCAAACACTGGTTCGCCTGGGCAATGCTTCTGTTCAACCTGAGACTGTCTTTGAGACCTCTTCGACTCAAGTGCGACCTATTGCTCATAGACCTTGGGTATGAGTATCAGCAACTGCACTCCAAAAATGGTTGGTTGGGTTCCATGTTCAGAGTAAAGTTGATAGACATACAAATCGAGCAACTCCAAAAGATTCTCCAAATCAAGCTGAGCTGGCTTGTGGGAGTTGAGCCTCATGTTCAGTAGGGTCATGCCAGGAGCAATAACGCTAAGGGTTCCCAAAAAAACCTAAATCCCTGGCCCCTCAAGCTACCCATAAAAAGGAGAGAATTCACCCCGTAACTCCGTAAGCTTGCCAAAAGGGGCCTATACCCCAACAATAGGTACCCCCTACTCCAAACACCCGGCCGGTTTTTCAGGGTATCATGTCGACCCGCTACTGCAAAAGGAGGTATTTACCCTGGAAAACCGATCGGTTTTCCCCAGCCTACGCTGAGAAAGAAGAAGGTATTTTGAGTAGGGGGTAAGCCCTAACAAAGAATCCTGACCCAAACATGCCCAGCAAGTGCGCTATGCAGAGGTGAAGCCGCGATCTCCGAGGCGTCCGCCAGACTTTGCTGGGAGTCTTGGCCTTGCGTCCGTCGATCCGAAACCGAAACCTCAGAGGTCCTGGTTTGGGCCATTCCTCTTGCAAGGTCCCTTGAGATTGCCCAAAAAGATAGGTGCATGGACCTACCTAGGTCCTCCAGATTTAAGAGCTTAGAATTAAAAAAAAAGACTTGTTTTTTTCTCCGGGACGTCTATTTTAGTAGGGGAACCCTGCCAACCAAAAAAGGGGGAGAGAAGCGCACCTGGCTGGACCTAGTTGACCTACAGTCGAGCACTCGAAATCCTCGGCCACTTCCAATCGCTGCATGCGAACGCTTCAAAGCATCAGGCCTCAAGGTCCACGGTGGAAAAGCCGCAATCGACTCGCAGGAGCCATGCCCTCCGCAGAATCAGCTGCTTGTACTATTTTGACACCTGAGATGAGGAATTCCCTAGTGAATAACCTATATCATACTGTGGATGGACGAAATCCTGCACCACTTTGAAACCAGGAAAAAACATCGTTTGTTGGTATTTGTATGGGAATCATCAGACACCAGGGTTTCTTAGGTGGTGCAGGATTTCGTCCATCCACAGTAGTGAACTTCTTTTTGCCCCAGAGTTCGCAGCCTGAAGGAATTCAACGATCCTTCGGAAGTCAGGTGGCATCAACGCAGCCCCTGCCGGCATCAAGCAAGGTGGTCGCCAGCGGTAAGACGATGAACAAACAAAGAACACATAAAGTATTCAGAAGCAAGCTGCTTACCTGCCATAGTCCAATGGTAGCCAGAAAGAGAGAAAGCCAAGAAGGGAAAGAGAAGGCCGAGAGAGCTAATATGAAACGAGAAAGAAAAAGAAGAACAACAAATTGAAGAAAAGAGAAAGAGAAAGGGAAAGGGAGATGGGAAGAGTAGAAAAGAAAAAGAAAACTAGAACTACTTTTGAAACTTCCCCCCCTACTTCGCGCCGGCTCTAGTCGTCGTCTAGTTGCGAGACAGCGCCTTCTCCAAACGAAATAGATTATTGAGAGCATAGGTGTCCTTTTTGTGAAATAGATGGGGTTCCGTGGTCGTTGATTGAACCACCAGGCAAACCAGGAATCGCCCACCTATGAAGGGAACCGGTTTGTCATAAAGGGTATTTGGGAGCCCAAAGAAGCCCTTCAGCCCTTGATCAGGCCCTAGACCCTTTGTGGTTGATTCTCAGTTGTTCAGTGACCCTGGAAAAGAGAAGGGAACCCTTTTTTGGGCTTGGACCATTTTAGTGGTCTAAGCCACAAAAAAAAGGAAATGGAAACAGAAAAAGGGGGCCACTGAAGAACTGAGTCTATAGAAACCCTGGAATTCCAGGACTCCAGCTTTTGATTAACAGGACTCCAACTTTATCATAGGGCCTTTGTGGTTGATTTGGTTGATGAGACCAACCAGTTGCGCGGCGAAACAAATCTTGGCGCTTGCCTTGGAGGAGTAGCTCCTATCCTCGGATGGCTCCTGAGCTGCTTGCGGAAACGGCGGAAATGGCGGATCGGCCCGGATCGCAAACGCGGATCGGCCCTTCACCTTCTCGGACTTTCGCCCTGCAAATTGGACGGGGGGGTACGCAGGTTTTGGTCCATGTTTCCACTTGCCAGGGTTCCATTTTGGTACCGGTTTTTTGAGCCACAGCCACCTTTCATGGGCCGAAAAGGTGATGTTCAAAACCTTAATGGACAGAGAGGGACACCCTGATCCATGCTGGATGGGCAAAATATGTTTGCCAGTCGGGAAGGAGGAATCCTTCCCGAAATTTTGGGACGGACCACCTCGCTGGACCGTGTGTGGCGCCTATCCACCCGATAGAAACTGGTCGAGCCATTTCTACTCCTCTCACTTCACTAAGTATCTCCCTTGCGGATAGGCATCGGTTGCGCCAAAGGCCTTTGCGAGGCCGCGATCTGATGTGCCCAGATCTGATTTGCGGTAAGAGCTGTCTAAAATGAAACTCAACTAGAACCCCACTGACATGTGGTCGCCCCAAACAGGAAGATGCCTCCAGAAACCAATAAGAATTTGTGTGTGTCACAGTCACATGTTCGGCTGTGGGAAATGGAATCCACTTCTGTGATACAAGGCTTCCCAAAGACGAAGCCCCCATGTAATGGGGGAGAGTTCCCTATCCCAGAAGTCGGGGATAAGCCCCGAGTGATCCCACAACCCTGCAGTCACATTCTTCTGGAAAGCAGAAAACGCGCGCCCATCATCTTCTCGGCCCGAAACGATCGCTCGTAAGTTACTCTTCTTCCAGTTGCTTAAGTTTTTATTTTTCTTATTTTCCCTTCTTTGGTTTAAAAGGAATTTATCACTGGACATATGTTCCTTCTATATTTTCTTATTTCCCCTTAAGTTTGGTTGAGGACCTTTTATCACCGGCCATCTTTTTTCCCTTACTTTTTTCCCCTTGGTCTTCAGCAAATGGAAGTCTCTTCCCTCCCAGTGGAAACGAGGAATCGTCCAGTAAAGAAAGAACAAGGGCCCATGGACCCGGCGTGCATCCCGTTTTCGACGTGGAAGGAATCCCCGAAGGCGGCAAACGTCAAGAAGAAAATCCCTTTCAATGAAAGTCCTTCTTCTTTTTGTTGGAAGAAAATCCCTTTTCAATGACTGAAAGTCCTTCTCCTTCTCTTTTTTTTGGAAAAGTTTTCAAGAATGACTGGAAGTTCTAAACTTTTTTGTTTTCCCCGAAAGCATCGCGAAGGGTTCTTCCGCGCGGGGGAAGAGCACTTGGAGAAAAATGCATTCGGGCCAATCGTCCTCTAGTTTGGAAAAGTAAAGGCTATCCTTGAAGGACCTTCATAATGAAAGTCCTTCTTCTTTTTTGAGTAAAGGCATCCAAGGACCTTCATAAGTTTTCGCTCGCTCTTTTTTGAGGGTTCCCCAATGATTCCCTTGCGACTCTGCCACTCACCTTGCCCGGGGCCCCCCCCCCCCCCCCCCAAAGTGGCGGCGGCTCCTTTGGTTCTCCTTTAAAAAAACAACCCATCAATTAGGCATCCGCCTTCAAAGACACACCCAGCCACCTCTAAGGGGGAAGGAACCAATGACTGGGATTCAACAACTGAAAGTCCTTCTCCTTTTCATCCAAAGGTTTTTAGGCATCCTGAAGTAAAAGACCCGTCCAAAACCGCCCAAAAGGAACATGTGGGGAACCCGCCCCCAACAATTTGTGGCACACCCAGCTAGCCCAAGGAAGCCTGCCCTCTCCTTGGCCAGCAGCGACTCGGTCTCTTCACCCTCGCCGGGCGGCCCCCGCAACCTCGCGGAAGCGCGGGCGGAGTCCAAAAACTGCGCTGTTCTCATGCCTAGCCACTCCAAATACCCGCTTGTTTCAGGGTACTGTTGTTGATTGTTTGTTTTTTATAATGGTAAATAATTACCTGCTTTTTTAGTAGAGTGTCGACATGAGACGCTGAAAAGAGCGGGTATTTGGAGTAGGGGGAAATATGTCCCACGTTTACTGCGTCGGTTCTGGCGTGGGTCACAGGCGAAGAAACTGGACTGCTACTGAGAGCATTCATGCGTTGCAGGGTGCCAAACGGCTAACCACAAGGAAAAGCTCACCGCAGCCGCTCAGCGCTGGGAACGCCTAGTGCATTCTACGCTAGGTCTCGAACGTGCGCATCATCGGCCTACACACCGTGTGGTGGCAACTCAGCACGCAGTGCTTGATTAATGAATGAAGGGTTCCTCCGAGAACCCCTCCAAGAAGGGTTTAAGCGAAGGTCTGATTTGCACTTGAAAGAAGGGCAAGTGCAAGAGGTCCCAGGCAAGTGCATATTTCTGCCCATCCGAAAGAGCTACCCGCGCTTAAGGAAACTCGCCCAGAATTTTGGGGAAGTTGTCCCCATGTTGGAATCTTGAGGTCCAGGTATTTCCAGTGGTTCCCTTTCAAGAGAACTAAGAATGGTCTTGCAATACCCCAAACAAAACTTGGGCATTGGTGTGCTGTTGGTATAGGTGGATTTCCTTTGTAAATGGGGCATAGTAAGGTACCAACTTTTTTCCGGTAGTGTATTTTAGTAGGGCAACGCTCCCCCACTGGGAGACCTAGAACCTAGAAGGGACAGTGACGCCTATGTTCATGTCTCGCTCAGGTTTTTTTGCCCACAGAAACAGGCGCTTGGTGCTTCATGTTTTTTCCTCTCAGCTCCCGACTCCTCCTGCCGGCGTCGGAACATGCTGCTTCCATGCGGGCGATGCTCGGCGTCCGGCCGTGAATTCCCTGTCGAGCCCCAAGATCGTAGGGGACTGACGTGTCACTTTTGCTCCATTTTTTTCAAGCAGACATGGCCATGAGCACCAATCCCCACTAAAATAGAGTAACATGGGTGGTGAATTCACCTACCTCAAATTGGGATCCCATTATTGTTGACCCACAGCCAAATTTGGCAAACAGAAACAAATTGAGCGCTGTTCAGTCACCTGGACCGCCCCAAAATTTCGGGTCCACTCCTCCTGAAAAGAGGCCGACGCCGCTGTTCAGCCCGCTGCCGGGGTCCTTAAGAATCGGAAGCTTCCTTGGCATCCTGGAGCTGTCAAGCTCACTTCATCGAGCCGAAAGGCGTGCGAGGGCTTGCTGGGCACTTGCCACGGAGCTTGTTCAGTCCTTGGTGTGTTTTTAGATGGCAAAACAAAACATATGTAAAGTGTACACATACATATACTTGTAAAGTCTAATCCGGTGAATGTATGTACGAATGCATGTGTACATATTCATATGCACGTCTAAATGTGCATGCAAAACCATAAGTATATATGTAGACTAAAAAAAAACACCCTCCCACCAATTAACATGCAGCCTCACCAGGGGGTCTCTTTAAAAGGACAATGGTCTTCCAGGAAACATCGTGCCATGAGGGGTACCAAGTTCTTCCTGCGGTCAGCTGCACCTCTTGCACCATAGCCATGGCATTCCATAGGCCCGGATATCCAACCTGAAATCTTCCTCACTTGCACAAAGGACCCAAACATAACCAGTGGTCAAGTTTTTGGCACGACCAAACATGGACCAAATCAGGAAAACCCAAAGGATAGATGCGGTTCGCTTCGGGCAGGTGCGCAACTGTGGAAGGAAGGGTGCTCTCTTTGGGGCGGGGGTGCCACGGACACCTAGAGTCTATTTGCACCCATACCCCAAAAAAGAAATACCCTTAAAAAAAAGAGGTCGCACAATAGACCCTAATTGTCCACCATACGGGGGGGGGGGGGTGCTCCTGCTTCAGCCCTTCTCAGGATGAAATTTCGAAACCCGCAAGCAACGGCAGGAATCCAAGGCCTGCCCCTGGTTAGGTGTAAGATCCAGTACTCGAACAAGTTGATCAAGGGCGTGGGTCAAAAATAACAACAAACCCCTGTTTATGAATATGGGGGTGTCCCCGGTTTTAGTGGGGGGTTATCACTTTTGGAGGGGAACACCCCCATCTTAATAAACAGGGGTTTATTAATCCGGGGTCAACATTAGATTTGGAAACCCCAACAGGAGGGCAACAAAAACCTCAGATTCTGCACATCGACCACAATCCCCGCAGGTCCAAAATCGGGCGTCCTGGGCCCTGGAGCTGTTGGATTGGTGCGGATTGGTGGCTGAGTCACTTGGCTTTGCCTCGAAATCACCTGTCTGCACGTCAAAACAAACACATTTTGTAGGAAAAACACTAGGGCCCCACATATGGGGGGATTGTTTTGGCTTCTTTTTTCATATCGAACTTAGTCAAGGTACATTTGGGGGGGATCCTCTCGTATCCCTGGTTCCTGTATCCCTGCTAGTTGGTTTCCCTGAAATAGGGAAACCCCAAATGGGTTGTCCGGCAAATGTCAACCAGGACTATTCCTTCGGCGCGTTGAATATTGACCGATACTCTCCGTTTCACCAATATGGATGGGCGCAAGTATGGCCGGCATTTGAATGAGTCACCGACCTGAAACTAAAGGATCATAAGGGATCCCGAGACAAAACAACTTCATGCTTCATGCTGCATGCGCAAGGTCGCTTTGCCCCAGCTTGACCTAGTGCATTGCTTGGCCGTGTTAGGGCACGTGAAGAGGACATCGGCAACTCAAGTGGCTAAGGCCAGTGGCGTAGCACCGGACACTTCAATTTGATACCTCCATTTGCTCAAGACCCCTGGAAAAAACAGATTTCCGGTAGTGATAGATTCCCTTTAAAACCAGCAGGGGAAAACCAATTCTTAACCAAATGCAAGGCGAAGATTGCCCGCCATCTGAGACTCGGGGCCTAGGTCTTCAGCAAAGTTGGTTCGAGAAGCTCACTCGGACCCATCCAAGCACCAAGCAAGACCGGGTGCAATCTTGCCCAACAAGAGCGCGGGGATTCCGAGACACGGTCTGATTGCTCTGGGCTCGAGCAATCTGCAAATTGCGTCTTCGCCCTGAAGTGCCTCAGTTTACCAAAGTTCGATACGGCCCGCACTTAGGAGTCCGCTCCAAGCCCAAAATCCTAATCCCTCGCGTCGACGACTGGCGCTTTTTCTAAGATACTCCGAACCTCGCGCACCGCCCACAGGTCGTTGAATGCGCTTTGAAACACCGCTGAGCTCAATGCAAGCGAGCACAGCTCTGCTCGCGCGCTCGAATCTGCCAGCCAGGCCGCCAGGGCAGAAAAGCAGAGAACACCTGACCAAAAAAGCGCCAAGCTTTGCCGCCAAGATCAACTAGGTCCTCCAGTAGAGAGGTTAGAATAAGGGTACCAACTTCTTCTGTAGTCTATTTTAGTAGGGGAACCCTCCCAACCAAAAAAGTAACCGTGAGAAAGGGCACTAATTACTGGACCTAGTCAAACAGATCATGCTGAGCTCCACTCGAAAAGGTCTCAGCTTCTGTGCCCAAACTCCTTGCAAGCCTCTCAGCACCCTGGCGCTTCCGGGCGGCGAGAAGTGTCGATGCGCATGCCCTGGCGCAAGCGCGGGAAACCAAGCCCAGATCACTGGGCTGTAACCGACCCCCTGCTGAAGCTGGAAAACTTGCGGGTCAAATTCGGAAACCCAACCACTAAACCAACTAAAAGTCTAAAAAGCTAAGGAACCTGGCTGGGAACCACCAAGATCATGTTTGCCTCGAGTCGCCAAGGGAGCCACCCTTTCAAAATGATATTTAGAAAATGGCGAAGGGTACCTCTATGGCAGGTGAGATGCAGAAACAACTTCCCGCGCCCATTTTTTTGGGTTTGCCCCCCATTTGAAGAGACGCACCCATATATATTCTGGAGAAGGCAGCTGCGCAAATTGCTGTGCGTTTGTCACAGCGTAGTCGTGCCCATCGTGTTCACATAAGTTTGTGTCTGAATGGTTGGGTTACCTTTGGCTTCACCTTACACCAACCTCCAAAAGGTGCACGCCGTATTTGCTGCATTCCGACGTCTTTGCGAAAGTTGTTTGGAATTCACCGGACAGCCCACAGACCGAATGACGGAGCAACAGCGGATCTGTGCGAGTCCAAGCATGATTGTGGGCTTGGAGCTATATGGAGGTTAGAGCCAGACACGAAAACCATCGAATTAACATACTTAGCATCAAAGAAGCCTTGGCCCTAAAAATCCAGAAACAACTAATTAAGTATCAAAACAGCACTTCGGCACCATGTTGCTACCACACACCGTAAAAAACTTGGAACCAGTGGCATCAAGAAGGCATATTTTAAGCACCAAAACACATGTCGAGCATGGCGGGTTTGTTCGGGGTGGGCTTGCGGAGGTTTTGCTTGGGGTTGGCAGGTTGGTGAGTTCTGGGCCTTCCTTCCTTCCTTCCTTCCTTCCTTCTTTCCTTCCTTCCTGCTTCGAAGTTGCTTTGGGAACGGTAACAAGTTTGTATTGATTGCTAGTAAGCTTTGTTAGATGCTTAATCAGTTGGCTTTCAACATAAATATGTATATATATACATATATATATATATATCCCCAGCCACCCGGGTCGCAAAAACCAAGCACGCGCCAGTACCTCAATTCCAGGCCAAAGCAGAGCCAGCCAGCTGCGCGCCACACGTCGCGCAAACGAACAGGTCTCCTTCCCTTTCTTCGGGCTCCGAAGCTGCATCCAACTTGACCCGAAGCGGCCGAAAGGAGCTCCCGGAAATCCAACCCGGACCCAAGTTCCAACTTAGGCACCGGGCTCTTGCCTGCCCAAATCATGGCCCGGGTGGAGTTCCTCCCCTTTTGTCCACAAATCAGTTCACAAGCCACAAGCTTGGAGTTGCAACACCCCGCCGCCCATTTGTTCCACCAATTCACCTGGAACCTCCGCATTTCGGGGGTGGGTCCTGGTTTTCTCGCCCTTCTCCTTCTAAATGGGCACCAGGGTCCCCAACGCCCAACGGCTCCAGGTCCGCGCGGAAGCGCGCGCTCCAACACCACGCGCCTTCAGGACGAGCTGCGCCTGGAAGCGTTGGCCAAAGCCGCAGGGCTTCGACGAGACATGGCTGGGCCAACTTCACTCAGTTCAGCGACCCTGGAATAACAAGGGAAGCCTTTCGGCTCGCGGCGCCTCGGTCAAACGGCGCGGGTGAGGGCATGCCGCCCCACCGGTTAAAAGGGAACCCTTTTTTGGGGCTGGGACCGAACTTTTGATGTGGGGCCACCGAAAAAAAGGGGAAAAAGAATTGGGGCCACTGAACAACTGAGTTCAGGTCGGGCCAAGCAAAATGCGGTATACGGGTAGGGTTGCCCTCGCTCTTCGAGCTCGAAGACACACAGCGCAGCTGGATTTGGAGTAGGGGGTAATTGTTGTCTCATTTCTCCCAAGTCCCTGTACGTAAAGGTCGCTCCATTCACTCGGAGGTATCCCCAGCAGCACCCGCAGAATCCTTCCGGCGGAAGCAAACAAGTGAAAACCTGACCAGAACAATCTGGGTGAAGTCTATCATTTCACCAACCTGAAACTTGTGGTGCTTGGGGGGCTACTCCCCACAGAAACCACCAAATTTGGGGGTGAGGTCGTGTGAGGTCGCTATGACTCACCCAGAGTTGTTTGGTTTGGAGAAGTTCTTTTGGTTGAGGGGTCAGGCGAAAGAATGCCTAGGTCCTCCACATTTGAGAGATTAGAATAAGTTGGTACCAACTTGTTTTCTGTATAGTCTATTTTAGTAGAGGAACCCTCCCCCCAAAAAAGGGGAGAGAAGGGCACTACTGGGGGAACCTAGATGCAGTTTGGTGAATTTGCTCGGGAATTGTTTGGTTTGGATTTTGGTGTGGGTTTCCAAACGTTGGTTTGGAGTGGGGAAATTATGCGAGATTGTTCTTCCAAGCTTGAAACGAGTTGTGCTTTACGAAAGGGAGCCAATTGGGCAGTCTCAGGATCATGTTCACAAGCGGAAGCGGATCTTGAAGCGGAAGTGAAACCGACAGTCTGGAAAAATCGGGGGCTCAGATAGTGGACCCATCAAATCGATTGGTTCCTTTTTAAATTCACCATCCGGATGGAAGCTCTAACACAGCGCTTGCTGTGGCATTCCCCACTCCATGGAATGCGAATAGGACACAAGGAAACGGGCGATGTCCATTTGATCCCCGGCGATGACCAGATCGGGCGATGGACTGATAGGGATATACGGACTGATCCTGAGCCGAGCTAAGAAACGGATTTGGACCGGGGAACCCCAAATCTCGGCTGTCCAAACTGATCCCGTGCAACAATTTAGCTCAAACTTGTGGGTTAAATTCGGACACCCAACCGCCAAACCAGCCGCCAAACCGGCTAAGAACCTTTCTGGAACCGGACGACTCGCGGGTCCCGAACCGCCAGGAAATGGTGGGAACTCCATTTCGTTTCCCTTCAACACCTGGTGCTCAGTAAAGGAGGGAATGAACCTGGGAGTTTTTTGAAAGGAAGCCACCAGTTGGATGGTGTGTGGGGGCTCATTCCCTCACTCAGTTGTGCAGTGACCCTGGAAAAAAAGGGAACCCTTTTTTGGGAAGACTATTTTAGTGTGGCCGCCACCAAAAAAAAGAGAAAAATAATTGGGGCCACTGAACAACTGAGCTCATGTCTTACTGGGCACCAGCAAGAACACATTCCAGGTACCTTCCCTTCGACCCGCTTGCTGTCAGCTCAGGGCACGGCTTCCGCTTCCGCTCCTGACGAGGGAAAAATAACGCCCGCGTTCGACTCCGGGTGACCCAATAGCAGGATTCTCCGACTCAGCTTCTCTTGGTGGTCAAGTGGTTTCACATTTATCCTCTAGGGGTTCACATCCAATCCAAGGCACCAAAGGCTCCCCTGATTTGAAGGGGTCGGTTCCAGCAGGTTTCAGAAGCCTTTCAAGCTTTCTGGAGTCCCCTTTACCACGGGCGTCCTTTTGTTGAGCGTGCAACCAAAACCTCATGTGCATTAGGGACAACGTGTGTGGCCAGTCTTCATGATGTCCATCTTGAAGCTTAACTTATAAACAACGATTCGACCAGACACAACACCAAAAACACAATGCCTAAACGTTTTTATTGTTCGAAGACAACTTTTTATAGCGCCCCTCCAAACGACGATTCGACAAACACACACGGACACTCGGCTCTTAAGATCCGAAAGCCCTGGATCTTGCAATTAGCTGGGGTCAAGAAGCCGTGTGACGGGTTGCACCCGATTTTTTCACCTTGTGGAACTCAAATTCTACCGGATCTGTCCAAGTTGCAAGATGTCCCAATGGTCTTGTTGGCCATCTTTTCTTTGGACTTCAACTTCACTTGGCTCAAGTCAGCCACAGCCAGCCCTATGTCCTCCCCGAGTTTCTAAGTTAATCACAGCAGCTAGGCTTCGCCCTCCGCTTCATCCGCTGTCGGGGACCAAATCGTCTCGGCTTCATATTCTGTGCCGGCTTTCATGGGCGGCGGGACGACACGGCGACACGCTTGCTTTCTTGCCGAAGGAAACCCCATCCATTGCCTTCTTTTTGGTGTCCCCTACTTCCATTTGGTTAAGACCCTGGAAAAAATAATAATATTTCCAGTAGTGATAGATTCCCTTGAAAACCAACAGGGGAAAGTAAACAAATATTCATTTCAGCAAATGGAAGCCTACATCCAAAAACATACTCGGGTCATTTTGACCGTTGCTTGGGGGTATCAAAGTCAAAAACTGTTTGGCGACCTCCCTTTAACCTACCGCTTGGGATGTGACTTTGGATCTTGGTAGAATGGGATGCCAGGGAAAGGCCTGATGCTAGGCATGCCCCGGAAATTGGCATGGCCCGTCCTTCTCCTTTTTTCTGGCATGCGAGCTATCCGCGCTCTTTTTCCTGGCCGGATGATGCACGTGCGCTTCCCCATCCAACCACCAGAACTGTGATATGGCTGTAGTGTGTCACACAAGGAGGGACCCTCAACATGGCTGATATCGGGCGGTTGCTCTTTAACCCTCTCCCCCAACCAAGCCAGAAAAGAACTGGCCTTGCACAGCACCCCCTGAAAGTGATGGCCCCCAGCTATGGCTGTTTTTCCAAAAAATCGAATCCCCAAAAACTGGGGCACCTTGGTATCTGGAAGCAAGACAAAAGCCTGCGGTTTGCCCCAAGTACACTGCCCAAGGGAACGGGGACATGAAGGGCCTGGACTCGGATCCCGTGAGTCAAAACGTGCGCCAGGCTCGACCAAGAAGCAAAAAAGGGGTCGCAACGCACGGCGGTGGGAGGACTAAAACCTCCATTTGGTTCAGACCCCTGGAAAAAGTAACAAACATCCAGTAGTGATAAACTCCTTTAACACCAACAAGGGAAAAGAAAAACAAATCTGAAGCAAATGGAAGATAACCGCAGTTGAAGAGGATGTGCTCTAGTTGGAAGCCAACACTTTCTTGGGGGAAGACTAAGACTCTGTTCCGGGTTGACTCATCCTCAATCAACACTGACCTACAAAGAACGCACAGACCGCACAAGGCTCCACAAACCAACACGTGATAGGCAGCTCGTCCACGACTTCTGATGCTTTAAACAGGGGCAACTGCATTGAAGAAAGGAAATTACATATTCGCCCAAATGGCCCTGGTTTTGGATACGTGGCAAACTTGCCGAAATTCCTGTATCAGGTTTCAACAACAGGTAGCCAGTGAGGAGTTGGAGCATCTCCAAGTCAGAAGCCCTCGGACCTGCGATGAGCCAACTCCAAACCGAGCGACCCGCCTCTTCTCTTTTTCTCGCTCCTGGCAAAAGAACATGGGGCCAAAAGAAGTCGCGCAACGATCTCTCACCACCTAGACCAAGTTTGGCAGATCACCTTGAACGCTAGACGACATGCTTTGCTGACATTCATCTTCTGACACTGTAAGACTGTAAAACAACCCCCTAAGCCCAACAAACATCAAAATCAACGAAGAAATATGCCCCAGCAGTACCCAACTGGGCTGTCCTCAGATCTGCTGCTAAAAGTTTGTTCTACTTTTAATGGGTTCATTGAACCCCCCCCTCTAAACCCGAAACCGCCTAACCACCCTAAGGAACCGGATGGCTGGGAAGTTCGAAGCCAGCTTCCCGGAACCATCCCCATCCTCGTCGGCCTGTTGAAAAAACCCCGCGTCACGTTGGGAAGGCTACCCTTTCCACGAACTGCCAGAGGATGCGAGAGGAAGGGTAAGGACGCATCCTCAATACGAACTCGACTCAACGAGCCAAGCGGCCGTGAGCTTGTTTTACCCCAATGTTGATCCGACAGACAAGGTAGCCCCACTCAAGACGGCAAACCGGAAGCTTGTGGCTGCATATGTCGGAGGCTCTTGCCTTGACAGTTGTTGGTGCAACGTGGTGTGTCTCTGATGGCTAACTAAGAACCGTTCCGCTTGGATCACGAGACCTACCATGCTTCTGTCCAACCCTTGGTTTGGTAGCCCAAAACTTTGTGTATTGAAACCCCCTACTAAATTTGAACAGAACCGACTCAAACTACAAGCCTAAACGCATGCCAACAAGGTTTTCCCAGCTGACTTCCAAGGGTGACTCCCGGAAGTGTGGGGGTCATCAACCCTGGAGGTCACGCCGCTCAACAAAAATAGTGGGCCAGAGGTGGAAATAAGGAAAACGCCAAGGGTCCATTAGAGCCACTTGCTCAAAACCTGGTACTAAAATGGTCGACCCAGAAGCATGCTTCAAGAATTAAGGCGGAAAAATCCGCAGCTATTTATGGCAAGGGGATTGTCCCTTACTAACCTCCTACCCGGGTTTTGATTGGCTCAAATGGCAACCAAACCCAAAAGGCGACAATTTAGCCCACCTCAGTAAGTGAAACTCTAGGGGTACCTTCCATTTCCATTCTTAGGGATCCGAGTCTTTCCATAAAACCTCCGGAAGGCCAGGGAAAACGGATCAAGTTTTTGGAAAGAACGATGGTTTTGAGGACGTGGCTCGATTCGAGATCCCAATTTGCCGGCGGCCCTCCTGAAGTTTCAGCGGAGTCGGCGTATTGACTTGCAACCCAAGAAGGGATTCCAAGATTGCACCATCCACGCTGGCAAAACGACACGGTGCATGTGGTCCTTCACTATCCGCAAATTGAGCCGACTCCCTATAGAAGGCTAGGTTTCAACCAGTTAGCTTCGACGTTCAACTCGCCTGATTCACATGATGCTCTCCATGTTCAAAGCACTGTTGTGTTCCCCAGCAGTGAAGGCTCCATGCATCTGCCATTCTTTTTAATGCACGTGCTCATCTTACAAAATCAGGGAGAGAGTAACAGGTTCATCCGTTTGCCTTGACTACCAGGCTCCGATCTCCTTTCGGGGAAAAGACCACATGTGTACAGGCGATTTCGCAGGCGATTTCGCGCAGCCGGAGTCGTTGGAGTCCTCTTGGCAAGTGCGATGTGTGACCAAACCGTAGGGAGACCGGAGCCCAAAAGCAAAAGTTGTTCAATCCAAAAACCAGATGATCAAATCGCAGCAGGCTTCTCTGATTCAATGCCTGAGGTAAACAGAAATCAACTGTGCTAGTTGTCTTTGTTGTTTGTTATTATGTATTTTGTTTACACATCAGAAACATAAGCATTTTAACGCTTGAAGCTTCGGCTTTGAACAAGTCAGCATCGAAAGGCTTGGCCTCCCAGACAGCGCAAGCTCTCCTTGTCCTTCTTCTTGCCCCGGGAAGACTCAGAGCTGCTCTTTCTCCTATCAAAATCGCAAGCCCCAAAACTGATGATGAGAACTCAGCTGAATTCGGGCGGACACTTTGAGAATTAAAGAGATACATACATATAATTGAATGTGTGTGTGGGTGTGCGTGTGCACATGCGCGCGTGCGTGCATGCGTGTGCCTGCATGCGTGCACGCGTGTGTGCCTGTGTGCGTGCGTGCGGGCTTGCGGCGTGCGCGTGCGCATGTGCATGCGCGCGCGCGGGTGTGTGTTGTGTGTGTGTGTGCTGTGTGTGTTACGTGTGTTGTGTGTGTTGTATGTATTATGTGTGTTGTGTTTATTATGTGTGTTATTTATGTTGTATGTATTGTGTGTATTATGTGTGTTGTGTGTGTTGTGTGTGTGTGTGTTGTGTGCGTTGTGTGTGTGTGTTGTGTGTGTGTGCCTGTTGTGTGTGTGCTGTGTGTGTGTTGTGTGTGTATTGTGTGTGTATTGTGTGTGTGTGTGGTGTGTGGTGTGTGGTGTGTGGTGTGTGGTGTGCGGTGTGCGGTGTGTGGTGTGTGGTGTGTGGTGTGTGTGTGTGTGTGTGTGTGTGTGTGTGTGTGTGTGTGTGTGTGTGTGTGTGTGTGTGTGTGTGTGTGTGTGTGTGTGTGTGTGTGTGTGTTTGTGTTGTGGTGCGTGTGTGTGTGTTGTGGTGTGTGTGTGTGTTGTGGTGTGTGTGTGTGTGTGTGTGTGTGTGTGTGTGTGTGTGTGTGTGTGTGTGTGTGTGTGTGTGTGTGTGTTTGCGTGCGTGCGTGCGTGCGTGCGTGCGTGCGTGCGTGCGTGCGTGCGTGCGTGCGTGCGTGCGTGCGTGCGTGCGTGCGTGCGTGCGTGCGTGCGTGCGTGCGTGCGTGCGTGCGTGCGTGCGTGCGTGCGTGCGTGCGTGCGTGCGCGTGCGTGTGTGTGTGTGTGTGCGCGCGCGTGCGTGCGCGTGCGCGTGTGCATGTGCGCGCGTGTGCGTGTGCGTGTGGGTGTGTGGGTGTGCGTTTGTGTTTTGCGGGAACTTTTTCTGGTTTGGTCCAGAGGGAAAACCACTTTGGGGTCCCCTTATTTGCACACATCTCTATATCGTTGCCTATATGCCTATGCGATGCATTCAGATCTGTATGATAATATAGCTTGTGTCTGTGTGTTGAAACACCTGTGGCACCTTGTGCTTTTTGCATATAGAATCGGTGGTTTGCATTGGGTTCCTTCTCACTGATGAGTCAACCTGGGAGTCTGATAAACAAGCAGGTGTCAAGCAGGCTTCGCGTGTTTCAACATGTTCAAGCAGGTTTCCTTTGTTTCATCCACCCGCCAAAAAATCGTCCCTCATTTCCTAGGGATCAAGCCTCAATGTTACATGCGCTGCATCACAGAGGGTGGAACTCAAAGCCTCTCACGGAGCATCATGCGAGGGACCAGAATGCGAGGATTCACATATGAAGTCCATATGTATAAGATCTTGGCCGGAGGCAAAGGTTCTATGAGCGAGCTGCTTCGTGAAGCAACCTTCTGCCAGATTCCAAAGAACCAAGTCTGTCTTCAAAATGGCCACCGGACCCGGAAAGGATGAGTGCAGCAGCTCTTGGGTCTCACTGACTACTTCGCCGCACGGAAGGATCGGCCCGGCACCTCCCCACTTCGCGTTTGTCGCGCGGTGTGCCGCGAGGTTTTTAGCCCGGAACCCGAGTTGGCCCCCGATTCACTGCTGTCGTCTTCTGTTCAACACAGCTCAACAAAAATTGCAATCCGAGCCCTAGTTGGGCCTCCAGATTTGAGAGGTCAGAGTAGTCTAGTTTAGTAGGGGAACCCTTCCCCCAAAAAGTTAGTAAAAAAGCACCTAGCTGGGGGACTTAGTTGACTTTACAGGAGGAAACCTTCAACCAAAAACGATTTCAGAGGATACGTGGGGGTGAGTTTCAATCGGGAATCCTTTGGACATCTTTTTTCCGCAGCCAATTTTGAAGGGTGCCATTTAGAGCCAGATACAGGCAAACGACAAAGTCATGCCTAAGTCACTCCTTTATCTGTGTGGCCATGTGTTCCCCCATGTAAAAGCCGATTCCAAGAAGTCACTCCTAAGTCACGCCTCGGCAACAATCCCCATGGAACGCTTGACATCACCGAGCTGGTCATGCTACAAAAAGACAGGTGTCAACACTGAAACACAATGGAACGCTACTGATGGCAAAGCATGTTTTCCAGCCCCGCGAGGCGCCTGCAGGAACATGAAAACCAATGGAACGCCAAGCATACGATAGGTTGTTGCAGGAGAGTTTTGTAAGACGTGACACAACGGATGGGCTTTGCAGGCTCTTGGAAGGCAGGCAGGCACATATGCAATGCACCCTGGCAAAAAAACGAGATCAAAACGAGATCAAAACGAGATCAAACCGAGATCAAAACGAGATCAAAACGAGATCGCCGATCGTCTGTTGAAGATTTTGGGATATTTTGGGCCCACGTGTGCCGAACCCGCGCCCACAAGTTCACTCACTTCTGCACCCGCTCCCATCAACCCATTTCCGCACCCACTTTTGGAAAGAGGCACGACTTCTTCGAAGCCCTCTCCCCCATGGAATTTATGCAATGCCTCAAACGGAGGCACGACTTTGTCAAATCCCTGTACATTGCAGGCTTTGTTTGATCCACCTGAACATCAACCCATCAACCCTCTAGCTTAGCCTGCTGGTGCGAAAGATGGAGCTGGAATGAGATCTGGAAATTCAACCATCCAACAAAAATGAGGATACCCTTCCTCCAGCAAACATGGCACCTGTGGGGAGGTACCAAGATTCATTTCCTAAGGGAGCCCCTGCCAGTTGTTCAGTGACCCTGGAAAAAAGGGGAACCCTTTTTGGGGCTTGGACCATTTTTAGTGGGGCAGCCACCAAAAAAAGGGGAAGAAGAGTTGGTGCCACTGAACAACTGAGCAGTACAAGGCAGTTTGGAGGGGTGGCTCGTCTTTTGAGGGTACCTTTTTGGGTTCTCTTTAAAATGAAGCCCATTGGCTTCGCAACCATTTGTTGGGGACCCCTTATCTCAGATGCCCCCAGTGGATTTCCATGATTAAAAATCCACATCAATTCACACTTGAATTCGCTTTCAGGTCCTGGTTCGATCTCGTCAAACTGTCCAAACCAAACTTTCCAAACCAAACTTTCCAAACCAAACCAAACTGGTTTTCTCCGACTCTCCAATCCACACTTCGCCTCCAAAGTGACGCGACCAACACATATTTTTTTCTCCGCCGCCTCTTGGACTTCTTCGCCCTGTCCTAGCCGAGAATCCGTCGAGCAGCGGCTCGGAGCGACCCCGGGGCGCTGTCTGGGAGGATCGAGGCTGCGGCTTTTTGGGTGGCTCGTCTGCTAAAAAAAAACCGGACCCACCCCCGGAAAGCAAAAAAAGAAACACAACAATAATAATAATAATAATAATAATAAATAATAATAATAATAATAATAACAATAATAATAATAGGATGAGTCATCACAAGAACAATAATAGTAATAATAATCAACGGTTCTCCTTTTTGGCTTCTTCTTAAAACCAAGCAAAAGGGGGTTTGCCAAAACAAGACACACGCATTTGGAAACCGAAAAGAGCTGCAAAGACAAACCGTTTGCAAAACGCAGCGTGACATCTCCAATTAGACCACCGGATCTGACAGAGACCATATTGGGGGTTACCCCTAAAGCAAGATACACTCGCTCAGGTGGCTGCGGGTCAAAACCAATGGGATCCCATCTTGGGGTAGGTGAATTTACCACCCAGTTTGGTCTATTATTTTAGTGGGGATTGGGATGTTCACTGGGGGTACGGGATGTTGACCCATGGCCAGGTGTGTTTTTCTTGTCGGCTCTTTTTTGTTGAATATTGGCTGGTCTTAGGGGTAGGCATGTAGGCATCAAGTCCCAGCCTGTCTTAGAGGATTCAGGCACCGACCCATTCACGCCATTCACGAAACGAATTCGGATTTCGGATGTGCAGTGAGCATAGTGAGCCAATCACGTGCTGCTTGACCACCAACTGAGCAGATTGGATCCGCGTATGGATGGCAATCCACAGGCCGTTTTTTGGGCGAACCCACTGCGTTGGGCTTAGCCCTCGCTGAATCAAGCATTACACTCGTCGCCGAATCGCATCCTTTTGGTTCCCTTCCAAGGAATGGGCGGCTCATCTTTTTTAAGTCCGACCCGCCCCCCCCAAACACGGTGCGACGGTTTTGCTTCTTTAAACACACACAAAAAAAACACAGCTCCCCCCTGTTTCTTTTTCTTTTCTTTAAAAAACACAACAACATAATCAACATGAAATACACACACTCACACAGGGCAGTGGCCGCCCTTTTCCCCATGTCCAAAGTGTTTCCACTGCATCTCGGTGCTCCTTTTGGTCTGCCGTCGGAAAAAAAAAAAAAAAAAAAAAAAAAAAACCCAAAAAAAAAAACGAACACTCCCCAAATGGAGTTGGACGGCGCGGATCCCTCTCCTTCTCCTTGTGCGAGGAGCTCGAGCTTCTCCTGCGCAGTGCTTCCGGTTCCACAGGAGCCAAGATGCTTATTTGTTTGACTCTTGGTTTTACCTTGGGTCAAACAAAGGTATCCAAAATGGGTTGCCCTGGAGTTGTTTTGACCCATCTCTACATGATGGGTTCTCTGGGGTACCTATGGTGGAAGCACTACCGTTTCGCTTTTGCTGGAAAAACCAAGGCACGGAAAACCCACGTCAGTGGAATTGATGATCAACCATGAACACAGTTTTCTTTGCACGTTGCGAACCATCGGCTGCCTAGAACCACATGATCTTATCGGATCAGGGCGAATGGCCTCCCTAGAATCGAGCCTAGGGCTTCATGGTGACTCAGATGTTCCTCCGGCTTTTTGCCCCAGTCCATACCATATCTAGGTCCTCCAGTAGAGAGGTTAGAATAAGGTATCCGAACTGTTTTCTGTCGTCTATTTTAGTAGGGGAACCCTCCCCCCAAAAAAAAGGGTAACAGGGCACTACTGGGGGACCTAGATATCGAGTTGAATTCCCTCATGCAGCCTCTGCGTGGCTGAGCCTAGGCGCACCCCAACAAGCGCTTTGGCGCATGATGGCGCATGCACTGTGATACACTCAGCAAGTGCAGCTTGCAGGGCGAATTCCGGCGGAATGCGAAATGCGGAGGAATGGGAGAGCATCTTCTCCCCGGAAGAAGCCTCATGTGCGCCACATGCGCCACACACTCGGCCAGTGTGCCGAGGTGCAACTCCTTAGGGCCATGCCGCTCTTGCGGAGAGAAACCATGATACATTGTCAATCCATTCCACTTGGCTGAGGGTGTCTGTTGGCTGAGGTATGTCTGTTGCTCAGGTGCCACTTTGCAAAAACTCGACAGAGAGAAGCAGGCTCAAGTTGCAAGAAGCCACTTTCAAGGCGAAATGGACCGTGTTTGTGACTGTAGCGACCAGGGCAGGATGCGCGCCTGCATCAGGTGGCCTCTCCTGCACATCACCCCCTACTCCGGTATGATGTCGTCTCTCTACTAAAAGGAGGTATTTCCCATGGTTGGGGTAAGGGGCAGAATCAAGAGACGGCGCATCCCCAGCGAGCACTTTAGCGCATTGTCTCGCTGTCATACACTCAGCAAGGGCAGCTTGGGCGAGTTGGCCTGAAAGATGAGCTTCATGCTACAAGCAGCGCCATGCCAGAAGCCTCTGAATGTGCGCCCCACACTCGGCCAGCAGTGTGCAGAGGTACAACTCTTGGGTAGGGCCACGCTCCTACGGAGAAAAAAACATGAAAGCAGCAAAGTCAAACACTCCCTACAATGCACCTGCGTGGGGATGCAATGCCACTGGCTTGTTTGGTACCTGCCTTATTGGTCCAAATCCAAAATGTCAAGCTGTTTCACTTGGATACAGGTCTCGTTTGGTTGCATTGCACAGTGAAGGTGGGTGGGCGCGCCTGCTTAACACTACGAAGATGCTCTTAGAGTTTGCTCAGCCACTTTGCAAACACCAGACACATTGACACGGAAGAATCAGGTTGAAGCTGAAGGGATAATTGTGGGGAAGGCTCCACCCACAGTGTATGTGACTGCAAGAACCACGTCCGGGATACTCCGCAAAGGGGGGGGCAACGTTCACACAGCGGTAATCTGCACAACAGTGCCGAAGCACGCAGAAGGCAGCCCTTTTTAGCATCAAATGGCCTCCCCTGCACATCAGAAGCAAGATTGGCGCATCCCAGCGAGCACTTCAGCGCATCTCGCTGTCATTCACCCAGAAAGGGCAGCTTGGGCGAGTTGGCTTGAAAGATGCGAGGCTCATTCCACAGGGGAAGCATCTTCTCCCCAGCGGAAGCCTCTGAACGTGCGCCCCACATGGCCAGCAGTGTGCAGAGTTGAAACTCTTGGGTAGGGCCACGCAGCTCCTACGGAGAGAAACCATGAAAGCAGCAAAGTCAAACACTCCCCACAATGCACCTGCGTGGCCGCACTTTTGCGGGCCATCATCTCCCAAACGAATAATGAAGCTCAATAAGAGTGTCAGGTCCTAGACACATCTGTGGGCATGGACGTTGGGCTAGGAATCCCGTCGAGACGGGCTGTCCAAGAGATCGTGCAGTAACCGCGCCGCAAAGTATTGCCAGTAACCGCGCCGAAAAACGAGCAGTTACCACGCCGCTTTTTGCACGAACTACGCGCCAAACATCCTGGTTCCAAAGAACGTGTGTTGCTTTTGGGCCCTCTCCAAATGCTCACTTTCGGCCCCCAGACCTTGCTTTTTTTTAGGTTTCGGCATCCCGTAGTCTTCCGGCAGTCTTCCGGCAGTCTTCCCGTGGTCTTCGGCAGATTCTTGCTATGGTATGCTTTCTATTTCTTTCGCTTGGTTTGGTTCCTTACTCCGTCTTCCCGTAAGTCTTCCGACGCTTTCTGAAACCAAGAAAATTGGCAGGCGTTTTGGAGGCCGAAGACGCTCATTCGGGCCTTCCGCCGAGGTGTGCTCGAATCGGCCCCCAGACCTTGCTTTTTTTGGTTTCGGCATCCCGTAGTCTTCGCAGTCTTCCCGTGGTTTCGGCAGGTCTTGTCTTCCCGTAGGTCTTCCGACGCTAAACAAGGAAAAATGCAGCGTTTGGAGGACGAAGACGCTCATTTCGGGGCATATCCCGGCCGAGCGTGTGCTCGAAATGACTCAACTTTCGGCCTCCAGACACCTTGCTTTTTTAAGGTTTCGGCATCCCGTAAGTCCTTCGGAAGTATTTTCCCGTTTTTAGCCTTCGGCATCTTTCCCTAGTTTGCGACGCCATTAACCTTTAAAACCAAGAAAATGCAGCGTTTGGAGGCCGAACACGCTCATTTCGGGCCTCTCCGGCCGAGGTGTGCTCGAAATGCTCACTTTCGGCCCCCGGACCTTGCTTTTTTTAGGTTTCGGCATCCCGTAGTCTTCCGGCAGTCTTCCCGTAGCCTTCGGCAGTCTTCCCATAGTCTTCCGACGCTGGCATCCCGTGGTCTTCCGGCAGTCTTCCCGTAGTCTTCGGCAGTCTTCCGTCTTCCCGTAGTCTTCCGACGCTAAAACCAAGAAAATGCAGCGTTTGGAGGCCGAAGACGCTCATTTCGGGCCTCTCCAGCCGAGGTGTGCTCGAATTTTTAAATGCTCACTTTCGGCCCCCAGACCTTGCTTTTTTTAGGTTTCGGCATCCCGTAGTCTTCCGCAGTCTTCCCGTAGTCTTCCGACGCTGGCATCCCGTAGTCTTCCGGCAGTCTTCCCGTAGTCTTCGGCAGTCTTCCGTCTTCCCGTAGTCTTCCGTAGTCTTTCCGCGCCTTTTAACAAGAAAATGCTTGGTAAGCGTTTGGAGGCCGAAGACGCTCATTTCGGGCCTCTCCGGCCGAGGTGTGCTCGAAATGCTCACTTTCGGCCTCCAGACCTTGCTTTTTTTTAGGTTTCGGCATCCCGTAGTCTTCCGGCAGTCTTCCGGCAGTCTTCCCGTGGTCTTCGGCAGTCTTCCGTCTTCCCGTAGTCTTCCGACGCTAAAACCAAGAAAATGCAGCGTTTGGAGGCCGAAGACGCTCATTTCGGGCCTCTCCGGCCGAGGTGTGCTCGAAATGCTCACTTTCGGCCTCCAGACCTTGCTTTTTTTAGGTTTCGGCATCCCGTAGTCTTCCGGCAGTCTTCCCGTAGCCTTCGGCAATCTTCCCGTAGTTTGCCGACGCTAAAACCAAGAAAATGCAGCGTTTGGAGGCCGAACACGCTCATTTCGGGCCTCTCCGGCCGAGGTGTGCTCGAAATGCTCACTTTCGGCCCCCGGACCTTGCTTTTTTTAGGTTTCGGCATCCCGTAGTCTTCCGGCAGTCTTCCCGTAGCCTTCGGCAGTCTTCCCGTAGTCTTCCGACGCTGGCATCCCGTAGTCTTCCGGCAGTCTTCCCGTAGCCTTCGGCAGTCTTCCCGTAGTTTGCCGACGCTAAAACCGCAGCCTTTGGAGGCCGATGCTCATTTCGGACCTCTCCGGCCGAGGTGTGCATGCTCGAAATGCTCACTTTCGGCCCCCAGACCTTGCTTTTTTTAGGTTTCGGCATCCCGTAGTCTTCCGGCAGTCTTCCCGTAGCCTTCGGCAGTCTTCCCGTAGTCTTCCGACGCTGGCATCCCGTAGTCTTCCGGCAGTCTTCCCGTAGTCTTCGGCAGTCTTCCGTCTTCCCGTAGTCTTCCGACGCTAAAACCAAGAAAATGCAGCGTTTGGAGGCCGAAGACGCTCATTTCGGGCCTCTCCGGCCAAGGTGTGCTCGAAATGCTCACTTTCGGGCCCCAGACCTTGCTTTTTTTAGGTTTCGGCATCCCGTAGTCTTCCGGCAGTCTTCCCGTAGTCTTCCCGCAGTCTTCCCGTAGTCTTCCGACGCTAAAAATGAGGCCGAACATGCTCATTTCGATCCTCTCCGGACGAGGCGTGCTCAAAATGCTCACTTTCCTTTCTTCCGGCAGTTCTTCCCGTAGTCTGCCCGCAGGCTTCCTACAGTCTTCCGACGCTAAAACCAAGAAAATGCAGCGCTTGGAGGCCGAACGCGCTCATTTCGGGCCTCTCCGGCCAAGGCGTGCTCGAGATGCTCACTTTCGGCCCCCAGACCTTGCTTTTTTTAGGTTTCGGCATCCCGTGGTCTTCCGGCAGTCTTCCCGTAGTCTTCGGCAGTCTTCCGTCTTCCCGTAGTCTTCCGACGCTAAAACCAAGAAAATGCAGCGTTTGGAGGCCGAAGACGCTCATTTCGGGCCTCTCCAGCCGAGGTGTGCTCGAAATGCTCACTTTCGGCCCCCGGACCTTGCTTTTTTTAGGTTTCGGCATCCCGTAGTCTTCCGGCAGTCTTCCCGTAGCCTTCGGCAGTCTTCCCGTAGTCTTCCGACATGCTCATTTCGATCCCTCCGGCCGAGGCGTGCTCGAAATGCTCACTTTCCTTTCTTCCGGCAGTCTTCCCGTAGTCCGCAGGCTTCGGAGATTGTGTGTGTCGAATCGCTCTCGCTGTGGCGCCGTGCGCATTTCAAAGCTCGCGGACGAACCCTCTGCGGAGATTGTGCGTGTCGGATCGCTCTCGCTGTGGCGCTGTGCGCTTTTTTTACGTGGCCCGTGAACCCTCTGCGGAGATTGTGCGTGTCGAATCGCTCTCGCTGTGGCGCCGTGCGCATTTCAAAGCTCGCCGACGAACCCTCTGCGGAGATTTGTGCGTGTCGGATCGCTCTCGCTGTGGTTTTCGCAAAATTTAAGCAGAAAAGTAGTACGCGAAGTACACTCCCGCAACTCCGGCTTGCAAAAAAGGGAGAGAAAGAGACAGAAGGAGAAAGAGAAAGGGAAGGAGAGAAAGAGACAGAAGGAGAAAGAGAAAGGGAAGGAGACAAACCGAAAGAAAAAGAGAAAGAGAAAGAGAGAGAGAGAGAGCGAGAGAAGGAGAGAACAAGAGAAAGAGAAAGAATGAGAGAGAGAGAGAGAGAAAGAGAAAGAGAAAGAGAAAGAGAAAGAGAAAGAGAAAGAGAAAGAGAAACAGAAAGAGAAAGAGAGGGAGAGAGAGAGAGAGAGAGAGAGCGAGTTTAGGAGAGAGCAAGAGAAAGATAAAGAAAGATAAAGAGAAAGAAAAAGAGAGAGAGAAAGAGAGAGAGAAAGAGAAAGAGAAAGAGAAAGAGAAAGAGAAAGAGAAAAAAGAGAAGAGAAAGAGAAAGAG